CTACTACTNTCTNTNTNTNTNTNTTNTNTTNTNTTTNTTTTCTTTCTTTTTTTTTTTGATTTTTTTCCTTTCCCCCTTCCCCTCCCCCTCCCCCCTCTCCCCACCTCGTCAACTTTCCCCGGGGAGGTGGACGCATGCACGGGACTGGAGAGCTAGAGATCGAGGTCCCCTACCCCGAAATAAAAACAAGTCTTCCAGTCACTTCAAAACTGGAGACCCTCGATCTCCATCTCCCCAGTCCCGGCACCGTCCCAGCCCTCGCCGCGCCGAAACAACCGTCGGTCCTCCGGGAGGACCTCGTCGAACCCCTCTCCGCGCGTACGGGCCGCTACCTGGGCGACATGGGGGTGGGTGAGGCGCGCCGCACGGAGGAGCCAGAAGTTGGCCTCCCAGTAGTCGCAGAGGCGGCGGAATCCGCCCGCTCCTCCGGCGGTGCCTGCGCCCATCCCCATGGCCGACTCGCCCAGGAGCGGCACGTACTCGGCCTGGCAGACAGGGTCTGGGCAGGCGCGTCGGCTGCGCCCGTCCCAGTCCGTCTGACAGGCGTGCCGGGTCCCCGTCGTCGCGGGGAGTAAGGGCACGGCGAGCTCGTGCTTCATCTGGTACCGAAGCGCGGCGTCGAGCTCGCTGTTCCATACCCCCCGGACGCGGAGATTGTCCCGTATCATGCGGAAGAGGTATCCGACGAGTGGGACCACTTCGATGGAGGCTGTCAGAAATATTGTTAGCTTGATGTCAGGAGATAGCGAGATTAAAAAGAAAGAAAGAGCGAGAAAAGACTCACCGAATAAACACACCCCCAACACCCGGCGGAAGCGGTCCCTGTCCTCCCGGTCGTCAAAGGAGACGACCCAGACCACGCGGTTGGAGCACCGTACGTCGAGGATGTCGTCCGGCTGCCCAGCCGCCATCCAGTCCGCCCAGTCACTGAAGATGAAGTAGTCCCCCGAGCGGTCGACGGCGTGGCGGACGGCCTGTCGGTGCCGCTCGGGGGTGTCCCAGTTGTGGCGGCTGGGCAGCAGCGGCGGCCCTTCCCTCTGCTGCCGGGGAATAGAGCTCTCCCGGCAGGGATGGCGGAACGTCATCTGCCCGCAGTAAGGCCAGTGCGCCTTGATGTCGGCGAAGAGGTGCTCTTCGCCGCAGTAGCGGACCTCCGAGTACGGTCCGCACCGCGGACAGATGACGGACGCGCCATCCCACGAGCTACAACGCTTGTCGCAGCCGGCCAGCGCGCACGGGAACCCGTGGCTGTCGAGTTGCCAGAACCACCCCGCGGGGCGCCGCGGGCCCGGCTGGCTCGGCTGCGACGACGAAGCGGTGCTCGCCGAGGGAAGGGCTCCTCGATCGTGCGGTCGCGATGTTGTCTCCCGCTGCCCGGACACTGTCTCGGCGTTGTTGTTGTTGGTTTGGGCAGTGACAGCGGGAGACGGTTTGGCTTCATCGCGCTCCAACCCGGTCTGGTTGTCGTGGTCGTTGTCGTCGTCGTCGTCGTCTCCTTTGACGGACCGGACGGTTGTTTCGGTCTTGCAGCCGGACCACTGAGTTAGATCAGTGGTGCTGCTGTTTGCAGACGCTGTGGCAGCGATTGTGGGCCCTTGTTCTTGCTGCGGCTTCCTCTGCGATGGCAGAGGGGGGAAATCAGCGTCGTTCAGAACAGGAGGCGGATGGGAGACAAGGTTCCAGACTCTTCTCTCGGATGGTTTTTGTGTAGGGCTAGCTGTCGAAGTCTGTTGTCTCTCTTGATTTTGAAATTGTCTGGCCTCCGTCGAACGGCTGCTTGTCGTACGGCTGATTCCCGCCAGCTGCGTTTTCTCGGTAGTGCGTGGTGCTGCAGAAGTGCGCGGTGCCGGAAAAGTGCGTGCAGAAGATGGTTGAGATTTTCGGGCCCGTGAGACGACGTTCCATTCACCTTGGCCACCAGCTTGTTGTAGATCGGATTCGGGGCGAGAAGTATGCGAGCCGGATGGCACTGGTGAAGGACGAGTCTCCGATCGCTGAGTAGAATGGTCTTGCAAGAATGTACCGCTCGCGTTTCTAGCGGAGCGTTGAATGCCAACTTGTGCGTCTTGAGTTTTGGTGGATGTATTGTTGCTTCTTTGAGTTACGATAGTCGGTGTACCAGTGGTAGTTCTTTCAATTGCAGATGATTCCGAGCCGCGATTCTTCTTCTTGCTCTTCTTGTCATTTTTCTTGGGACTCGGCTGAGCAGAAGTTGGGATGTTGTGTTCAGGAGAGATTTCGGACGTGACAGGCTCAACGTCCTGAGAGACTAGCATGTCGTTCTCAATCTGCAGTTGTTTGTTGCCCTCAGACTGGTGGTCATCTCCTTCAGTATGCGAGTCATCATCAGATTCAGCAATCGTGTAAAGTATCGAGCTGGATACAGAAGAAAGTCTGGTACGACGACGGCGCCGGCCGTGAGAACGAGTTGGACGCTTGAAGTCCGATGCTGTTTCGATCTGGTCTTTTTCGTTTGATGACGCGGGGGTCTCTTCGAGCAGAGACTTGTCAGAAGTGTGATTGGGCGTTGCAGCTTCCTTGACTGGTTTCTCTTCGGAAAGAGAGTCGTCAAAGGAATCGTGTGCTGGAGTTGTAGCTAGTTTGGTAGGTTTCGCGGTGTTTTCAATAGCGTGGTTGTCGTGAGAGAGAGATGATGGCTCATCTGGAGTCGGACCTGTCCCGACAAGAGTCATAGTAGCCTCTTCGGTAGTAGATGTATTGGACTTGTCCTCCCCATTCGCCTTTGTGGCCTGCGGTGTCTCTTCAGAAATTGGCTGAGCAGGTGTAGATTCTGAAACAAGGTTGTGCCCTGTAGTCCCATAATGAGGTTGTGAAGTAGTGGTATCTTGAGGAAGATGAGTGAGACTGATTGACGGCGTGTGGTCTTGAGATGAGTCGAGGCTCTGGGATGCCTCTGAAGTCTCGACAAGAGAAGTCGACTGAGATTCAGAAGAAGAAATGCCTTGAAGCTGTTCAGTGTGACTCTGAGCCGTGGTATCAGATGAAGCAAGCTGCAATGTGGTCGAGGAAACAGTGATTGCGACTTGATGCTGAAGTTCAGCGTCGCTCTGAGCCGTGGCCTCGAATGAAGGAAGTCGTGATGTAGTCGAAGGTTCATGGACAGGAATCGATGAAACAGAATGAGAGGGGGCTTCCTGTTGAAGAGTGACAGGAGTACCATTAGGCTCCATGTGTCCAGGCCCCGCAGCTTTGTTTCCTTTCTTCTTCTTGTTTTTCTTCTTTTTGTTCTTGGATTTCTGAGGTTGGGAGGACGACGCTTCTGCGGCTGGGGGCTCTGGTTGCTGAAGCGCGTTGGGATTATCGATATTTGCAACTGGAACATCGTACGCAATAGGTGCCTTTGCTTCGGCAGAAACATCGTTTGTAGAAGCATGTGGAGAAGTCACTTCCTCAGGTTCTTCCACGATGAGGTTTTCAGGAGCATCTTCTGTCGTGAGTTCTTTGGGAGTCTCTTCCTTTGGGAGTTCCTTGTGAGTGTCTTCAGTTGTGAGATCTCCATGAGTCTCTCCCGTCATGAGGTTTTCAGAGGTTTCTTCTTGTGGACTCTCCACGTGAGTACCTTCAGTTGTAAGATCTCTGTGAGTCACTTCTGCCGCAGGTTGTTCATAGCATTGTTCACGGTGCCCTTGGATAACAGACCACCACCACTGGTCCTCCGGAGTGGCCTGGCCCGTCCATGATCCCAGGTGCTGAACGGCCATTTTATGGAAGTAAGTCTGCCACCAAAAGAGGCGAAGTTGAATATGAAGATGGAGAGTAGCGGCGTTGATGAACTTGGTCTGCCACTTTGTGAGCAAGGAGAAAAAGGTAAATGTCAGCAGTGATGGGCATACTTTGTCAGAGGAGAGACCGATCTTGTAGGAGAGGTCGTTTGTGTCCACGACCACCAAGGCAGACGTGTCTTTGTCAACGCAACGGACACGTAAATAGAGCGTTTCTGGGGTGGAAAGGTCGTGTGCCCAAACAACGCGACAGCCAAAGACCGTGAAGGGGTTCTTCCACTTGAGGCGCTTGCCCTTTGGGCCCTTGCCTTTGTTCTTACCGGTAGCTTTGGACTTGGCCTTGAAGTCGTCCTTGAGAGATGACAAGAACTTTTCGATGGCCAGTTCCTGGAGGTAGACGGCCCTGATGCCAAAGATGTCTTTTCTCTCCAGAAACGTCTGGACGACGGTGAAGAATCCCCGCTTGCCACTGGGATATTCCGCTGGGACTTTGACACAAAACCGCAGGCGGCCGTCTTCCAAAGGCTCGTCGTGGATGTATTGCCCAGGTTCAAAAGAGAAGTTTGGAGGTGGTGAGACGACTTGAGCAGAAACTGAGCTGGTAGTCCAGTCTTTGAGGAGAAGACAGAGAGTGTCGTCCTCGGAGTGGAAGAAGATGTCTCTTATATGCTGGAAGATAGTAGTGAAGGCACTGCCTGAACCCCCGCCAGGCTCGGCATGACCCGCTGGAGGAGTCATCGAGAGAGCTAGATCAGAAGGATCACGGTTCTCAGACGAATGCTCTGGCTGCATCGTACTTGCACTAGGAGGGGATCCCATGAGGGCAGTGCAAGTTGATCTGGTGTAACAGAGTGTAGTTGGAGATGATCTGGTATTCTTAATCACGATGTCAGACAGATATGAGATTCTTTCTAAACTTTGGTATTTTCTCTCTTCCCTTCATTATATGCCCGATATCACATCAAGCATCAAAAACAATGATCTGGATAATGATTTCAAGCAAGAGTATGCTTACCTGTTTGATTTCTCGGCGTTCTGAAGCTGAAGCTCATAAAGCCAATGTTTTTGTACTGTGATGGCAATGCGATGAGGTGGAAGCGTGTGGTAAAGGGAGCGTGTTTGGGGAGTTGTTTTGACAACAGAGTGAGCAAATGTGTGTGATTGTTTGCAATGCCAGCAGTGAATGAGCTCCCCTAAGCAACAGGCTCCTCATGGGAAACTGCTGGTTTTCACCGTTCAGAATTCATTTCAGTGAATGTGATTAGAAACTAGTCACCCCTATACTTTCACTTCTTTTCTTCCTCTGTTTCTCACAGAGATTTCAGTTAATTCCCAATCCAGCAATTCTATCTACCTGTGAACTGATCAGATGGCTAGCAAATTCTGACAAGACATTCTATCACAACGTGGCTTTCCACTGTGAAGAATTTTCCTTGAAAAACTTGAGGCATCCATCGCAAAGACGTAAGACCATTTTCTGACTATCCTGCCTTGGAATTTGAACGACGAGTTGATGATTCTTCAACATATACACCTCAATTGACAGATCCTCGTTTTGGAGGAGAATCAATTTCGAACAAACATCGAGATAGAAATGCAGAGTGTCGGAAGAACGATTGTGATTGTAGATATGCTGCACGTAGAACCTAATAAAACCAATTGGCTATTCTGTAGGTATACGCTTAGTCTTGAAAACGATCTCGTGATATCCATCATGCATAAACTGCTCAATAAACAAAATATATTGGACAACAACTTCGCCAAAGAGTACATGTACGTATATCTGCATCGATCCATCGACGTTGGGAGGCGAGAATGTAGTAGGGTATTCGCTTCCATGGGCCGAGAGATAGCTCTATTGAGTTATAAATGGAGTTATAAATAGCATTATAGAAATTTCATAGTCTAGTTACCAGATGAGATCAGAACAACTAGCACGAGAAGTAGATCTTCTGCTTACAGGATGGATAGACGTCGAGACTACCTCGGTCGACTAGGCCAGTTATGGGCTAGCGGAGAGAGTGAAATTGGTCCCTCCTTCCTAGGCAGGTAAAAATATCGTTCAAAAATCTGCAAAACACCAATAATAAAATCTCTTATCTACTACTTTATATAATTGCTCACATCTATTATCCACATATTAGGCATATACCTCAAAAGAATTATATTTAGTAAATATTTACTACCTAGAAATATTTTAAGATAGGGAAGACCAAGTTTTAGATTAATTTTTTTTTCAATTTGGGAAGATTTATACCAGCTAGGTATGTCAGGTCTAGAGTATTAATTAATCGATTCAATTAAGCACTATCCTATCCCCATCTCTGACAATTCCCATCATAGCCGTTTTCATCGCAGTCACTCTCATCAGAATCACATACTTCCTGCACATGATCATCGTGATCGTCCTTGTTTATCATTTGATTGAAAAGACTCTTGGTGCCTTCTAAAATCCTCATAATCCGCTGTCGGTTCCGCAACTGCAACGATGTCCGGACGAGCTTTTCAGCCTGGAGACAGAGGCGTTCCCAGTCTATCTCGATATCGATATCTGAATCAGTTGACTTGTTACTATTAATATTGTTGACGAGATCCTGGATTTCATAGACCAACGTCCGAGGCGCCCTTCGTCACCAGTATGAGTCCGGCACGCGCCATTCGAAGGGGCCGGTGAATGCTGCGCGTAAAACGGCGATGTCGCAGTAGTCCAGCTAGTCCAGAATGAGATACTGGATATCTAGCGGGAGGTCGACAGCACCAAAAGGGCTTCTACCAAGCGCTAATAAGCGGCGAGATGATTGCCTAATGTCATACTGCTTGGTAATTCTTTCTTCTCTTTCTCCATCCCGGTCCTGAAGAGGCAGCTGTCTAGTTTTCTTCGTTATCACTGCATTCTTTAACAGACGCCCCACTTGCGGGATTTGGACCGGGTCTCGAAAGAGATATCGCGTCTTGGAGCTCAACGTCTCGTAGCGAGTGGGATATAAGTCAAAGTTCCCATCTGGTACATCAAAATTGGGTGGATTGATCCGTTTCCTGAATCGTCGTCGAAGGGCCTCCACAAAAGTCGCCAGGTGCATCTCGACATCGGGGCCGATGAAGCGCTCAATCAAGCTCCAGCAGCGCGCATGCACAGGGTACCCATACCGCTCTGGTCGCCGGGGCCATGGCCCTTGGTAATAAGAGGTCATTTGCAGATCTTCGGCTAAGAAGACGGATTCGATGGCCCCTTTCCTGGGCTGTTTCCAGGGCCATCCAAGAACGGCTGCATTCCGATCTCGAGGGACTGCGAAGGACGAGGTTTCTATGGCCTCGTCGAGCTGACCGATTCCTGAGAGCCGGCATTGACACTGTCCCTCGTGACCATTCTGGTAATCTTTGACAACTAAATGGATTTTTCTTTTAGTTTTTATCATACATAAATTACAGCGGGTAATAATCATGACATGGTAATCTGCTATGAATAATTTGACATTGCGCGCACTCTTGGACCTACGCTTGGGAGGCGGTGCAGGGAATTCCTTGCGAAGCGCGCCGAGGATAGACGTGGACCCTTCGGTTTCTGTATCTAGTTCAATCAGCGTCCCACAGGCGCAGCAGTATATCTTCATTTCCCAGAGAAAGGGAGGTTCTTGGAGGTCTTCCATGCTGCATGCAGATATATATGTAGTCGTTTCATTAAGCCCAGTTGATAGAGTAAATAAATTCAGCTGAGAAAAGGAAATAGGCAATCTGGAAGAATATGTTCTACCCTTTTATCACCCTGAGATAAAGCTTATTGATTATCTATGTATACAATTATTACATGTACACACTGGAAAGCTGGCTCAGTTGATGTCACTCTCTGCACGGAGCAATGGACCAGTTTCTTCCGGGAAAAATGGCTCAGAGTCTCCCCGTCTACAGTGTCCTCAAAGCTGACTTGAACTCTATAGAGTACTGCCTTTTTTATTCTCATGCTTACTGTCAAGATGCTCCTTTAATTCTTCCATCTCTTCGTCCGATACAACACTCGTAATCCGCCAGAGCCCAGTACTTTTGTCCCTCCAGTTCTCTTAGTCAGGTGGTTTGTCGAGAATGAGATGCCCCCACGATCGTCCCAGCAGCCACAGTCGCGTCGCCGGTCCCGCCGCCGTCTTGCTGACGAGGCCCCCGAACATGAAGCACTTCCTCCAGCCCAGCGCCGTCGATTCGGCGACGTTGAGAGACCAGAGTTACGGCAGGCATCTATCCTGAGTAGTCTGTCTACGCCGCCCGCCTCTGAGTGGCACGACTTGGCTGCCCAGGCAAAAGCCAGAGTCAATAGCTATAGACCCTCAATGGGCCAGAAAGACAAAAAACTGGTTCGCTGTCTACATGCGTTTATCGATTTGTTACCCCCGGGCGGCAGAAAGTCGGTTGCCAGAGACGTGATCAATTGCGGAAACGACGATAGCCGATTGTTTGGCGTCTTTGATAACCTCTGCATTGCCCTATTGTATCCCAGTAAATTCAATTATTCAACTTACTTTGATGCATGATCTGTTGACTAGCCACATAGTGAAAACGTCCAGTCAGAAGAGCTCGGTGAAAAGTTCACCTCACTCTACGAGGCAGTCGCAAGTAAACGACGTTGCAGGAGAACTGCCACCACCAAGTACTTGAAAGAAGAACCTGCGTCAAGATTGTCTGCGACGAGACAATCATCGATGCGTCGTCACACAGAATATGGATTTGAGTCGATGGGAGGAGCTTGGGAGCCCACAGAATGAAAGACATGCTGATGTGGAAGTTGCGCATATCATTCCATATTTCTTACAAGGACACAGATGTTTGACTCTCAGTCGCCATAGTTATAACAAACCTGTGCTAATATTTCTCTAGACGCCATCCAAACCCGCGTCTGAAATGTGGGCCGCCTTGTACCGCTGCTTTCCCGAAATTAGAAGAACTGCGATGAGTTCTACTGATATAAATGATCCATCCAACGCCATTACAATGACTGCCTACCTACATAAGGAGTTTGGGAGATTTTCATTCGCCTTTCTGGCCACAGTACGCATATGTAATTCATTTCCAGCTGTCTGTCATCTATTTGCTAATGGCATTTTTTTATCTAAGGATGACGCCAACGTTTACCGTCTTAAAACTTACCCCAAGTTCACCAACGATTTCTTGACCCTGCTGCCGAAGGATCTAAAGGTTAGATTCTGCTCTGCAACAGGCGTAGAAGATGTCTCTTTGCCTAATCCAATACTTTTGAATGTTCACTGCACCCTGGCCGAAATCCTGCATGCCTCCGGCATGGGGGAGACGATTGACCAACAGATGAGAGATGTGGAGAACATAGGCGGCTTGAGAGAGGATGGGAGTACAAATGTTGCTGGTCTTCTTGCAGGCGCCTTTGGGGGCAGAGTCACGGGGTGATTCTCTTCTACCATTTCGACCAAGTCATAGGATAACGAGTGGGCTTACCAGAGATCAAGTGTGAATATATTGCTAAGAGCGGGCGAGATGAATTTATTTCGAGATCCGACTTGTTGTTTCTCCTGACTTACAGACTATGGAGGTACCTTCTTCACTTTCTTTCATATTCGCTTTGTCTTATTTCTTCCATCGTCTACTTGCCTGAGAAGGTGAAAAGCCTCAACCTTGCATCGTTGGATTCTTCGAGATCTCAGCACCGAACACCAGCCACAAGCACAGACCACTAATTGGCAGGAAAGATACCCGCATTAGGAAGTGCTAAATATTGCCTCCTTGGGTTTTCTCTCCCCGATCAATTAGAGCCACGAGTGCATCGGATAACCGTGTATTATGATCTCCTTCGAGATCGATAATAACGGAATTGATGAGCTTGTGTTGATTGCTCGAAAAAATAATAGACTCTGCAAGTTCAAAAGACAACACCATTCGGAATATTTTTAGAATAGCCGCCTGCTTATCAACCCAGAATAGATACATGGACGTATTGACACATATATATGCAACGTTGACCCACATTGAGATGAAGGGAAGATCTACTCCGTACACAATAACTCATCATTTGACTTGACATTTCAGCAGGGGCTTTTACTGGATCTAAGTTAGCCGCCTATATTTTTTGAATACTGAATGATCATGGTGGCTGCCTGCAGTCTCTGTGATTTACTAGAGAATGTCTGCGCTTTCTGTAGTGATACTTCCTTGTCGAATGGGCTGGCAGATCATACGATACTCCATTCGATTGTTTCAAGAAACCTTTCTGTTTAGGCGCTGTTCGATACTCACCTGGTACTGGCTTGCGAGGTAGCCGCTGTGCTGGCGTAGCGTAATGAGTAAGGACGGAGACAGGAATAGAATCAAAAGCACCACCATCATCAGCTCATCGCCGCCTTACAATCCCATAAATAACTATCTTGAAACGCAACCGCGTTGCAGATAAGCGCTGCAGCGGGGATACGAGTCGCCCTGTCTGCTCAGGGTTTTATGCAAGTGTTTCAACAGAGGCGCCGCAGGGGCGGTTGATTGGCTGTGGTCCGTTCGTTACGCGCCCGTTTCCACGTCAAGCGCGCCTTGACGGCGTCACGTGAAGAACTCAACACTCGAAGGCTGTGGCCGCTGTGCATTCAGAGAACAAGGAACTTGTGACAAAGCAATACTCGGTAGAAAAAAAAGGCGTGGTGATCTAATTTGAAGTAGAAGTCGTCCGGGTTAGCGTCGGCACGTGCCGTGGATCCGCTTCCTTCCATACAAAGTAACTTCCCACTGGCCAGCGCTTGCTTTTCCCTCTCCTGCTTACTGAGAAATCGAATTTCATGGCAAAAGCCAAAGAATCGTGGCAGGGGTAGCCAGCCATCATGGTGCAAAGACTCAGGCCACTAGCTCCATTAGCTGTCCAGTGCCAAGCTATCGAGCACAGCTGATTGGCTCTGCTTACGACGATCCTGTGGCTGCCCCAGATTCAGATCTCGTTAGGCCTGATGCCCTGCGATGTGTATGTGGCGCCCGGGGACGGACATGTTTTCCACCCTAATTCCATTCGTTCTCGAGTCCTATGAGCGGGGAACAGATGACTGGATCTGATGCTCTCTGCACAACGTCCTGCCATCCACCCTGGCGGCTACCCCGTCTTTTTACGGTATGATGCTGACTCGCAGATGTTTGGCCGCCTTCACCCGATGGAAAGGCGCCAGTGACAGTGCCGAATCTGCCTCAAAGCTATCCTATTTTCAACTTCTGCTCCAGCATGCTATGGCCCACTGTCTACTGTTTCCATGCGAGTGTTTTGAATCATGCCTATTTTTGACAGTGACTGGGCATCATGGCTGCCGCCATAGCGCGTGTCCCGCCGCCTGGCCGAGTCTTTCATTACTTTATATGGTCGGTGGGAACTTGCAAGAATATGGTTCTGAGAAAATCTGGCTTATACGATTTACTGCGTGATACATCTTGCTCAGCATGCCCATTGTCGCGTTGTCTTTGTCTGGACTATGATTCACTCCTTTATTCACAAACAATAAACCCCCATGCAGAAACAATAACAATCACCCATTGTGATTCATCAGCACTACGACTCATGATTTTCCATTGTCTGCTCTCAATCTGCTTCTTTTTCTCGTTTCTCAATTTCCTATCGACTATCCTCTCGGTCTACCTAATCCTTTCCATGCTGTCTCTGTACAGCCGAGTCGAATGATTTGTGTAGACACCTACACACTTCTCACAACCCTCAAAACTCTTATTCCACTTGTACAACGTCATCTGTTCCATTCGATCTCTGCCAAGGACCTGTGCTGGCCGCAGCCCTCATTCATCCTTCAGTGCCTCATATTGCTTACGCCGTGAAATCATGGTCTTCTCCAGATTTGGCCGCTCGATATTCCCTCTACTTCCGCCGTATGCTGCCCACGATGGTCCAGCCTCTCAGGGCCCTCCTCCGTTTCTCGATCCCGATGGCATCACTCCCTACCTCGGTCTGAAGGCGCGATTGTCTCAGGTGTGGATCAATCGATGGACAGTCTTGCTGCTGCTAGTGCTCGTCAGAGTCCTGCTGGCGATCCAAAGCCTGCAAGGGCAAATGGCTTCCGCAAGGGTCCAAGCCCTGTCGGCCTGTACGAGTGTCGAGTCCATGGGGAGTGCCATGGCATCCATGCCGCATTATATGTCCCAGGGAGTCAATGAAATGGCTGCGGATGGGGTCACGAAAGCAGTCCATGGACTCGTAGAGATGCTCCAAATGACCATCACAGGCGTCGAGGGGCTCGTGCTCTTCTACATCGACTTCCTAGTCCAGACATACCTGTGTTTGATCACTCTGGTGATCAGAGGCAGTGTGGAAGCAGGCGTGAGCATAATTGAAGACATAACATCCTTTCTCAACAAGACCCTGCCCGACATCGGCAAAGACATTGGTAATGGGGTCAAGGATTTCGAAAATGCCCTTAATACTTTCCTCGAAGGCGTCAACAGCGTTGCGAGCCTTTTTGGCAAGAAGGTGCCCACTCTCGATCTGAGCAAGGAGATCGACTCTCTGGATCACCTCCAGCTGCCGTCCTCCATCAACGACGAACTCAACAAGATCAATGCCTCCGTGCCCACGTTCGACCAGGTCAAGAATTTCACAACCACTGCCATCGAGACCCCGTTCGAGGACCTGAAGAAGCTCATCAACGAATCACTGGGCGATTATCAGTTCAACAGCTCCGTCTTCCCCGTCCCCGCCAAGGAGCAGCTGTCCTTCTGCGGCGAGAACGACGGCATCAATAAGTTTTTCAACGGGGTGGCCGACACGCTCGTCGTGGCGCGCAAAGTTTTCATTGCTGTTCTCACCATCGCCGCCGTGCTGGTCTGCATCCCAGTGGCCTTTCGCGAGATCTGGCGTTGGCGGTCCATGAAGGAGCGGTCCCTGCTCGTTCGCAAGGAGGCCCACGATCCGCTGGATGTGGTGTATATCGTCACGCGTCCATACACATCGACCGCAGGGATCAAGGCGGCCAGCTTCTTCAGCAATAGTCGTCGGCAGATTCTTGTGCGATGGGCCTTTGCCTACGCGACGTCGACGCCGGCCCTACTACTCCTCGCACTAGGCGTGGCGGGCCTGTTCTCGTGCCTGTGTCAATACATTCTCCTGCGGGCGGTGGAGAAAGGGGTACCAGAACTGACGGCAGAGGTTACTGGATTCGCCGACAAAGTGGTCGCATCGCTGAACAACGCGTCTGAGCAGTGGGCGATCGGAGCGAATCAGGTAATCAACTCGACGAACGCGGACATCAACGACAAGCTCTTCGGCTGGGTCAACATCAGCGCGACGGCGCTGAACGACACGCTCAACACGTTCCTTGACAAGACCAACGAGGTGCTGAACGACACCTTCGGCGGCACAATCCTGTACCAGCCGGTTACGGGCGTGTTCGACTGTCTGGTCGAGATGAAGGTACAGAGCATCCAGAAGGGGCTGACATGGGTGTCGGACCACGCGCACATCAACATCCCCGAGTTTTCGAACAACACCTTCTCCCTCGGGGCTGCGGCCAGCATCGCGGGGAAGAACCAGTCCGACAGCTTCCTGGCCGACCCGGGCGACACGACGTCTAACAAGATCAGCGAGGTAGTCGCCAAGGTGACGAACGAGCTGGAGGACACGATCCACACTGAGGCCGTCATTTCGACAGTGATTGTTCTTGCGTGGGTTCTGGTCGCGCTGATCGGTATCATCCGCGCGCTGCTGCTCTGCTGCGGCCGGGACCGGCCTCGAGGGGAGGGCGGCAGACCGGTCGTCGTCCCAGGACAAGTGCGGTCCCCAGCTGACGCAGGCATCGACCTGCCCATCATGACCGGCGGCGGTCGCAGCGACGATTCCATCCAAGACGAAAAGGCAGCAGCAGCAGGAAGCTACCGCCCCGGAAGACCAGCCACGCCATTCGCGACGCGCATGGACAGACGAGAGAGAGAAATAGAAGACGAATCCAACTACCAGGACCGAAAACTGGGCTTTGCAGGCCAGCGCGAGTATGGCGCCGCTCTGAAGCACAAAGTGCCCTCTTCCGTGCTTCTCCGGGGGAGTTCGTATATCGAGTATGGAGACGAGAAGCACTAGTTTTGAATATCTAGATAAAGTATTGGATATAGATTTTGACTTTTGACATTGACCTTGATCTTTTCATGCTTGGCTGATTCTTTTTCTTCCCGGTTATTACTTACTTGCATGTACTACTGTATTTCATATGCACATACACGTACCATACACAGACATACATAAGCAAGCACCCGACTTAGTCAAATTCCTAAGAGTATTAGATCCAGCCACGTTCATACAAACTCTTCTTTCTATCTCTTTTCTCTGTTGGGCATCTGGGTGGTAGATGTTTATTGGTTGTCTGTTTGTGGACTGTTCATCCCTAAAAGTTCTTTTTTTTTCTTTGACTTTTCTTTCTTTCTTTCATTCTTCAACCAGAAACAATGAATCAATAACAGATAACAGTCACAATAAACCAAAAAAAATATCATTTTTTAATGTGATTCTTTGTTTCCTGTTCTGAGAGTCGGTACCTACATACATGCACTTAAGGTAGACAAGATAGATGGACAATATATAATAAGGATCTACCTAAATTCGGGTGATATGTATCACATAATCATTCTGTTGGGTATATACATCTACGTATATATGTCCTGTACATTGCATACATACATACTTTCTCCTATGAGCTAGTTCTCTGATGTACTACTGTACGTAGAATTGTATGGGTTGATCACTGCAAAAAAAAAAACAATTCATTCATTATTTCAGTCCCTACAATAATAGATTCTCGGACATGTGGTAACAATATCATCATCATCATCATTATTATCCAATGCAAACTGAAAACACTACACACACACACGCGTATGTTAGATAGCAACAAAGAAACTCTTCTCCCCCTCTTTAGGAACCACTCTAGCCCTCTCGACAATGGGATCCGCACAGCTGGTTCGGATCCGCTCCGGCGTCGCCGGGCTCTGCAGCTGCAGGACCTCGGTCACACCCCACTGCTTCCGCGCGGCCTTGAGCGCGTCGCGTATGGCGAAGAAGACCGCGCTGCCCATGAACAGCGGTGGCTCGCCCACGCCGCGAGACCGCTGGATCGTCCGTAGGTTCTCCCACTCGACGTCCTTCAGCAGCGAGACGTTGAACACCTGCGGGATATCGCGGAAGCCGGGGATCTTGTAGGTGCCGGGGCCCTTGGTGAAGATCTGTCCTGAGGCGCGGTGCCAGAGGCTTTCCTCCGTCGTGAACAGTCCCTGGCCCTGGATGAACGCCCCCTCGATCTGCCCGTAGTCGATCGACGGGTTGATGCTGCGCCCCACGTCCATCTTGATGTCCGCCCGCAGCGCCGTCCAGTCCCCTGTCAGTGTGTCGACCTGCACCTCCGCCGCTGTCACCCCCTGCGTGAAGTAGAAGAACATCTGGCCCTTATTCTCCCCCCAGACGTACCCGATGTCCGGTGTCCGGTAGAACCCGTTCGCCGACAGATTGACCCGGTCGAAGTAGGCGGCTTGGGCCAGCTCCTTCATCGTCGCGTTCGGCATCTTTTCCCGATACGGCCGGAGACGCTCGTTGATCTGCTCGCAAGCATTGAATATGGCGTAGCCGTTCAGATCAGAGCTAGCTGAGGCTGCTGTCGACGAGGTGTTGGCGACCGTGTTGGTCGCCGTCTCGGCGATGAAGACATCGGACGGCGGCACCTGCAGCGCTTCGGCGGCGATCATGGTCATCTTCGTGTGCAGACCTTGACCCATCTCGGTGCCTCCGTGAGCGACCAGGACACTTCCATCCTGGTAAATATGCACCAAGGCGCCCGCTTGGTTCAGGAACAGAGCCGTGAAGGAAATGCCAAACTTGGTCGGGATCAGTGCCATCCCCCGCTTCGACCACTTGTGCGTCTTGTTGTACTCTTCCACTGCTTTACGGCGCTCCATGTACGAGCTTTCTTCCATCACCTGCTTGTACATGAGCGGCACGTGCCAGTCCTTCAGTTCCTGCCGGAAATGGGTCTTGTCTCCAGGTTTATACATGTTGATCTGACGCAGCTCTTCGACAGGAATGTCGAGATGGTCTGCGATCTCGGACATGAACGATTCGGCCATGAACATCCCCTGTGGGCCTCCAAAGCCACGGAACGCCGTGTTAGACACAGTATTGGTCTTGCAGACCCGTCCACGAACATAGACGTTTGGGATATTGTAGACGCCGTCGATGTGAGAAAGGGCTCTCTCTATGACAGCACCCGACAGATCCTGTGTATGCCCGCCGTTGGAGTACACATCGGCGTCGAGGGCCAGGAGCTTCCCTTCCTTGCTCACGCCAACTTTCCACTTGCACAGGAAAGGGTGCCGCTGTCCAGAAGTGACGATATCCTCGTCGCGGTTGAGCATACACCGGACGGGTCGTTTGACCTTAGCGGCAGCAGTAGCACAGATTCCCGCCAGCTGAATCGACCGGGTCTCTTTGCCACCAAAACCACCTCCCAGCCGCTTCACTCTGGTGACGATCTTGTTGGCAGCTACACCGGTAACCTGGGCGACGTACGCCTGACTGTAAATATCCAGCGTTAGTCTGTCGAAACAGTGACGCCGGAGACACCGCTGGTAAACTTACGTCTCTGTAGGATTCTGAGTACAGCTGAATACTTCCATCTCACCGTCTTCAGGCTTGGGAATCACAACACAAGCCTGCGTTTCCAAGTAAAAGTGTTCTTGGCCACCCATCCTCGAGACGCCCTGGAAGACATGATCGGCTTCTTTAAAGGCAGCTTCGGGGTCACCATTCTTAATGTACCGATAGTGTTCGAAATAGGACTCTGCTTCAATGGCTTCCTCGATCGTGAGGATCGCAGGAAGCTCTTCGTATTCGATCTTGACGGCCCTCGCAGCCGCCTCGGCGACCTTGGCCGAACTGGCGAGCACCATACCAATCGGCTGACCAGCAGTAGTGACTTCATTGACTGCAAAGAAGACTTCGTCTCTCTTGGGAGCTCCCCACCAGTTGGCCTCTGGGGATGGCAAATCGCGGTGGTCGACATAGTCATGGACACCCGGGATGTTGAGAGCCGCTTCAACATCCACTTTGAGGATTTTGGCCCGAGCTTTCGTGGAAAGAACCATGCATCCGTACAGTTCATTCTTCTGCGTTGGAATGTCGTCCGTGTACTGGGCCTCCCCGGTGCACTGCTTCAGCGCGGACACATGAGGGGTTGGCTTGCCAAGAACTCTCTGTTGGTAGGCCAGAGACGCGTCATGGTCTTTCTTGCCAGACGAAATAGTTCTCTCAATCTCATCGATGACGTCTTGATCAATATCTGTCTCCTTGACTTGGAGATTCGACAGGACGTCGTGGTAGAACCGATAGAAGAAGCTGAATGCGAGAGTTTTGCGGTAGGTGGCCATGCCTCCGGGGACTCCGAACTTCAGATCAAAGTCCTTTTCCAATGCATTCATGACCCCTTCCAGAGTTTCCGGATTGGTAAATTTCTTTCCAACGATGTATTGCTCTGCATTTTTGGCCGATACTGTCATCGGGGCCATGCCGCCATACACTAGACTGGCACTGGTCACATCGTTCGATTCGGACAGCGAAACCCTCAAGGCCGCGTTAACGATGGCAATGTCATCGTCTTTCCTCTTTGACTGCTTGTATGCCCTGAGAAAGTCGCCGGGCTGCGCCACGGGAATACGCAGGCTAGCGATGACAGCGTCCGGTGGCAGAGCTGTCGACCGGTAGCCCTTGAAAAACTGGGTCATGGGAATCTCCGTCTCCTTTGTCAAGGACTTAGCCACGAGTACAGTATTCGTCGCCACGAAGACGGGATTCAAATCGGAAATCGGTGACGCCGTCGCCAGGTTTCCCGCCGGCGAGGCCACGTTTCGGATCTGGCGTCCAGCAAAGTAACGCAGCTGCTTCTTAATTGCGCTGAAGGGCTGTCCCCGGACGGGACCGTACCGTTCCACAGCCTCGTCGCAGATATGCTCCAGATCCGTCAGGGAAACATTGGCTCCCAGCTCCAGGTGGTCGTCTTTGAAGGAATATTGCTTCAGTTCCGGAATATCGCCGACGTAGACGGACGGATCGTAATGCATTGCTTTGAATTTGATTTCTATCTGCGTCTCCGTGCTGCCTCCGACGAGCTTAGCAGACGGATAGACGCTCTTTATTTCGAGAAGTTGCAGTAGATTCACCGGCCGATACCACCTCTTTCTCTTGTTGCCAAACGCGAGCGGCTTGAATTCATGCTTTCTCAGGGCCGGCGGGAAGATTAATTCGGTGTCGGGATTATAAGGTATGAAGTCTGGTCTAGGGAATTTCGGTTCACTGCCGTTCTCTCCGTTGCTGACTGCGGTTTTGCAGCATCCACCGGTCCCATTCTGCTTCTCCATGCAGCAGCCCGAGCCTCCATTTGCCCGTGCCTTCCCGCATCCTCCGGGGGTTGCAAAACTCTGGGCAGCATCCAAGATAGGCCGATAGCCGGTACACCGACAAAGGTTGCCATCGAAGGCCTCCTCGACGTCATGTGGGGAAGGCTCAGGATTATTTCGGAGAAGAGCGTACAGACTCTGCCATCAAACATCACGAGTCAGCCACTGTATCCTTTCATGTACTTGTGCAGGCTTTACCATGACAATTCCAGGCGTGCAAAAGCCACATTGGCTTCCATTTCCCACTGCAATCCTCTGCTGGACAGGATGGGGATTCTTGACATTTCCGATGCCCTCGACGGTGATGACATGCTTGCCATCGACACTGACAACGGGCGCCAGACAGGCGTTGACGGACGCATGGTAGAGTTTCTTCGTAGTCTGGTTGATATAGGACACCACCTGGACTGCTGTCAGAAAGTTGTCCCCGGACCTTTCCATATCGGGAGCGCGTCATGTGAATGCGTCCTGTACGGAGTATAATAATCTTCACCTACCACTGTGCAGGCACCACACCCTCCCTCAGCACAGCCGAGCTTGGTTCCCGTCAGACCGATGCCTCTTAGGTATTCTAGAAGTGTCAGTTCCGGATCGACATTTTCTAGGACGACCTTGGTCCCATTCAGGTAGAAGCGGATAGTGTCGTCGTAGTGCTGGGTCAGCTGGGCCAGCTCCAAGGCCTTATCAGCTGGCGCTGCCGGCACTGGCGTGTCCACGATCCCAGGAGCCATTGCAACAGCTATATATCATAAGCAACAGACAGCTCCAGTGAGAGATTATTTCTTGATTCTCTATTCTTCTTCTCTTCAACCTCACAAAGGTCCCAGCGCCCAGGGACTTAGCCCTGCGGGAGATGAGCCAGTCACGGGAATGACTGCAAGCGGTCAGGTACAAGGAGCAAAGACTTCAGAAAACAAAACAGCTGGGGAAGAACCATCACAATATATATTCGAGTGAGCAAGGCCGAAGAATGAGATCGCAGAGTAGACGAGAGGGCGTGGCCTTATCGGGGATCCCCACTGCCCAGCGATATCAAGCAAGCTGCCTCGCGGGGATCGCCACTGTCCGATGGGAGCTCAGGCCTGCCGGACAACCAGCCCGCTCCCGATTGGCTGGAGCTTCGTGCAGCACCGTGGTTGGCTGCTGCGGAGAAGGACGCCTCCGAAGCCAGCTTTCTCTATCTCCGCCTGTATTCCCGCAGGATAAAGACCGTGACAATAGGGTCGAAACAGAATTGCTGAACACAGCCTCCACTCGTTGTAAACCATAGACCAGGTCTGTTCATTGTCGCAGGATGTGGAGAATCATCCACTTGCAGTAGGCTCTAAGAGATGTGCGTCATCTCGCTCATACAAAATCAAGTTTCTATCCCAAATTGATCGCCCGTAGAGACTGCCACGGAGAGAATCCAACAAATAAAACGCCACGCCAGGTGCTCCGCAGATAGAAAGACGTTAATATACAGAGACCTCATGGCAACCAATAACTGCCAGGAAAAAGGACACATCGAGAATGCAATCGATCTACAAGGACAGGGTTGCTATATAATCAAGCCAAATTAATCAAGCCTGGCGCCAACGAAATTCTTCTCCTCTTCCTCCCACTTCTTTCGTTCCACGACACTTCGCGCTCTGTAGGAAATGATGACCCAGTTAGTCAATTTCGAAGCGACAGCAAGGGCAAGTGGCCTTGTACTTACCGGTACGCCCGAACGAACCGCCACACTTCCGAGTCGGCAAGGTTCCATGCTTCAGCCACGTCGCGGATGCCAATTCGGTTGGATTCCTTGCTCCTCAGGACCTCTCGAGCCTTCTCGATGAGGTTGTACTCCTTCTGCAGCGCCTCACCACGCGCCTGTGCTCCGTCGTTCGGCTTGGCTTCTTCTGGTTTGTTCTCATCCGGCTTCTTATCCTTATCCTCGGCGGCTTTGTCCTTCTTGGACACATCCCGGGGGATGGCAAATCCAAACTGCCACTCCATTTCATCCAGGATCTCCGCCGGGATATCCTCGCCCGGTTGGGCCCGAAGGTTTTCCACGGTCATCCAAAACGATCGTGCAATAGCTGCTTCGCCAGCAACCAGCTCCTTGAACACCACCACCCGAGATGGTCCGCCACGCTCGGGTCCCAACAGATCTTTCGTCACCTCCATCAACCAAGGGTCACGCGGAGTCTCCCGACGGATATATCTTGTGGTCACGTCGTCGGAGCCATGCTGCAGGCTGATCAGTGTGTACGGATGAGGCACTGTACCAATCGTGAACAGACTCGTCGTGTTTTTAAACGCCGGCGGCTGGGTGATGGAGATCGGTTTGGAAGAGGAGCTACACGGCTGGCACGTCGGACGGTTCGGAGGACAGGAAGTGGGCAGCACAGACGACGGACACTGGATGAGTGCTTTGGCAAGGCGCAAAGCAGGTTCTACCAACGCGGTGGTGTGCTCTGGCAGCGGTTTCAGCACCGCAATACCGGACGAGAAGCTGTTGAGGAAAGTGTTGTGGAGGTGCGCATTGATCAGTTCGGTCAGCGCCAGACGACCTGAGGCCGTGGAGGAGACGTGTTTTTCGGCAAGAGCGGGATAGTGCGTCGTGATGGTGTTCGAATTGTAGAAGGCCAGCGCACTGGGTTGCTCGACCTTGAAGAAGTCTGCCGGAATGAGTTCGATCATGGACTTGGCGTGATCATTGAAGGCTTTGATAGCCTCGTTGATGGCATCATTGATCCGCGACTTTTCGCCCGCAAAGAGGCCCCCGCCGAGCTTCTCGAACCGGGTGATATGGGTGGGAACGGCACCCCGCCTCAGATACGTCAGCAGATCATCGTCGTACCGCGCCATGGGGAAGCATCGCCAGTCCGCCAAAAGACCAGTGCCCATGTGCCCCCAGGCCAGCCACCTAAAAAAATCCGTCTCAAGCGCAGGGTCCATCTTGAGTCGTTGCACGGCCTCGTAGTACTGGTTGTTCATGGCTTCTGCCCGGCTCAAGACGACGGGCCGGAAGCCCTGAGCATACCACGCTCGCCGCCAGGCCAGGAGCAACTTGGCATCGGCCTCCTTCTCTTGATCATCGTTTTTCTCGTTGGGCTCGTAGAAGGTATACACGGGGGTCCGGTGCGGCAGCGGCGGCAGCACAGATCGATTCTCATCGAGCGTGATGGAGGAGGAAAACGGGTTCAGCCATCTAAAATCGGTGTACCACTTCGAGTCTCCGCTCGTACTGTTCTTCTCCTCCGGTGGTTTATGGGCAGCTGGGCGGAACGGGAAACGGAAGTTGTCGAAAGACGGCAGCTTCGGCCGCGGAACGTACCGCGAAGGAACGTAAACAACAGATTCAGAGGAGTTATTGACGGGAGACGAGGAGAAGATGAACAGCAGGAAGGCGACAAAGACAATGATGGCAAAGAGCGTCGTGCTCCGATGGGGGATCATGGTTACACTAACTGAAACATAGGCTACTGAGGAACGGGCGGAAGCAGGGGGAGAAGGTCCCAGAAGGAGAGCAAGAGCCTCAGCAGGGCAACGATATAATAAGCTCCCCAATTGACTTCTCCTGACCGCTGCAGGGACTGACGAAAGAGTCAGCGCCGTGGCAGTTTCACAGGGACCAGCGAGGTGCCCAGGGAGAGATAAGTTCATCGCCTAACACCAGCGACGGGCCTGAACTGATAAACGAAACGCTGGTCTCGGGCACTGGATCGTGCCTGGCACGCTTTACCGGATTCGGATCTCGGGCTCCACTGTGGAGATCCCGTGACCGCAAACCATCGTGCGGAACTTTCCATTGAGCCAATAATAGCCCATGTATCATGTGACTTGCAATGTGACTTTGGGGGACAAATATTCCCTGGCCGGAGCGAACTTCCACGTGATTTCAAGGCCTCTGATATGTCCGTGGCAGGTCGATTTTATGCATCTGCACCTTTTATTCTCTTTTAATACGGAAAGTGAGCTGTCGTAGGTCATTACTTTGCATTGCCGATTCTCAGACAGGTGACGTGTTTCCAAAAATGAACTAGTGTGAAGAGCGAAGGCGGTGAGCACATTCGGCAGCGGCCCCTCGGCTTGGCGGGAGCGAAATCGGCGTGATTTTTTTGAGGGGTGAGTCAGGACAGACGACTTTCGATGCTGTAGTGGAAGAAGAGAATAAACCACTGTACGGCCCCTCTTGACTCATCCTCCTGTCTACCACCATCTGGGCGCAGCACGGCCATATCCAGGCCCAATTGCGCCGCAGTCTAGCAAAGATGGGTCTCAACGCTAGCCCCGCGCAAGAGCGACTCGAGAGATGGGCTCAACGACTCGAGAACCTCACCGTCTCGCCGCTGACACGAGATTATCCCGAAACCAATGTGCCCGAAGCGGGCAAGAGACCAATTGAGGCTTTCGAGTCATTGAAGCTGACCCCGGATGCTCTGGCGGCTGTACAGAAGCTCTCTGAAACTTCAGGATCGGCCTTTCTGGTTTTCTTGACCGCCTTCGTCGTCTTGGTCGCCCGTCTGACCGGGGATGAGGATATTGCAATTGGAACAAGCTCCGCGGACGATGGTCGTCCATTTGTCCTCCGAGTTCAACTGGAAGCCAGTGAGACATTTAGCCAGCTCCAGGACAAAGTGGAAAAGGTTCGCGATCAACCCGTCGAGACCGATCATCTATCTCGGAAACGAATTCTGACAACCTACAGGCCTTTACAGAAGGAGCAGCAGATATTGTGCCTCTACGAAACCTGCGATCCTACCTCCAGGAGAAATCCAAGTCGGAACGAGCACCGGTCCTCTTCCGCTTCGCCGCCTATGATGCTCCCGCAGCCTCCCAAGAGTATCCTGCGAACACCTTCGAGACGACCGATCTCGTGATCAATATTGCTGTCTCTTCTCAGTCGACGACGGACACGCACCTTGGAGCCTATTACAATCAGCGTCTGTTCTCCAGTGCCCGGATTGGTATCATACTGAAGCAACTGGGCCGTCTTGTCCAGAATGCTGCTTCTAACCCTAATGAGGCCATTGGTCGAATTGATTTTATGACGGAGGAACAGAAGGCCATCCTGCCCGATCCGACAACGAACCTGAATTGGTCCCGGTACCCCGGAGCCATCCATGAAATCTTCTCTCGGAATGCTGAGGCACATCCAGAGAAGCTCTGCGTGGTGGAGACCGGCTCCAAAACCTCCCCTTACCGCGAGTTCACCTACCGGCAGATCAACGAAGCGTCCAACCTGTTGGGCCATTATCTAGTCCAATCGGGAATTCAGAGGGGAGAAGTGGTCATGGTGTACGCCCACCGCGGTGTGGATCTGGTGGTTGCAGTCATGGGTATTCTCAAAGCGGGTGCTGCTTTCTCCGTGATCGATCCCGCTTATCCTCCCGAGCGGCAGAACATCTATCTGGACGTTGCTCGCCCGAGGGCTCTTGTTATTATTGAGAAGGCGACTCAAGAAGCCGGGGAGTTGTCTGAACAGGTCCGTTCATTCATTGCAGAGAATCTGCAGCTCCGCACGGAGATCCCAGCCCTTGCGCTTCGTGATGATGGCAGCCTGGTGGGAGGAACTGTCAATGGTGAGGATGTCTTCGCCAAGCAGCTTCACCTCAAATCGCGACCCGTGGGCGTCGTTGTCGGGCCTGACTCGACTCCTACCCTCTCCTTCACGTCCGGTTCGGAGGGTCGGCCAAAGGGTGTGCGGGGTCGTCACTTCTCTCTGGCTTACTATTTCCCCTGGATGGCCAAGACCTTTCATCTCACTGCCGATGATAAGTTTACCATGCTGAGTGGCATATCTCATGATCCGATTCAGAGAGATATCTTCACACCCCTATTCCTAGGTGCGCAACTGTTGGTGCCATCTCGGGATGACATCCAGAACGAAAAGCTCGCTGAATGGATGCGTAAATATGGAGCGACTGTCACCCACCTTACGCCCGCCATGGGACAAATCCTGGTAGGCGGTGCGACTGCACAGTTCCCTGCGCTTCATCATGCCTTCTTCGTGGGGGATATCCTCATCAAGAGAGACTGTCGGTCGTTGCAATCGATTGCCCCCAATGTGAATATTGTCAACATGTACGGCACGACGGAGACGCAGCGCGCCGTTAGTTATTACGAAATCCCCAGCTATTCCAGTCAGGAAGGATACTTGGATAGCATGAAGGATATCATCCCTGCCGGTCGCGGAATGGTCGATGTACAACTGCTCGTTGTCAATCGGTTCGACCCCACTCGCCTCTGTGCCATTGGAGAAGTAGGCGAAATCTACGTCCGTGCAGGTGGTCTGGCGGAGGGATACCTCGGATCTCCAGAACTGAATCAGAAGAAATTCCTCCAGAACTGGTTTGTCGACCCCCAGAAGTGGGTGGATGAAGAAAAAGCTCAGAACCAGTCCAACGACGAGCCTTGGAGGGAATTCTATCTTGGACCCAGAGACCGATTGTACCGGAGCGGAGATCTTGGCCGGTATACCCCGACAGGAGATGTGGAATGTTCTGGTCGGGCAGATGACCAGGTCAAGATTCGTGGTTTCAGAATTGAGCTTGGTGAGATCAACACCCACCTGTCTCGCCATCCCCTGGTGCGGGAGAACGTCACATTGGTGCGCAGAGACAAATTCGAGGAGCAGATCTTGGTCAGCTACATCGTTCCAGCGATGGAAAAGTGGCATGCATGGTTACAAGAAAGAGGACTCACCGATGACGAGTCGGCTGAAGGCATGGTTGGCATGCTTAGGCGATTCCGACCTCTTCGGGATGACGTGCGGGAGTACCTTCGTACCAAGCTGCCTTCCTATGCGGTCCCGTCTGTCATCATCCCTCTCAAGAGGATGCCTCTCAATCCGAATGGCAAGATCGATAAACCTCAACTGCCTTTCCCAGACACAACAGAGCTGAGCGCTGCTGCTCCTCGACGCAGATCATCGGCCTTCAAAGCCCTTTCCGAAACTGAACAGGCGATCGCTCAGATTTGGGCCAAGCTCATTCCGAACGTCACGACGCGCATGATTGGGCCAGATGACTCTTTCTTTGATCTTGGAGGCCATAGTATCCTTGCCCAGCAGATGTTTTTCGAGGTGAGGCGGAAGTGGAGAGGCATCGATATCAGCATGAACGCAATCTTCCGCAGCCCAACCCTGAAGGGCTTTGCCTCGGAGATTGATCGATTGATTGAATTCGAATCCTTCACCGACAACCAAGGACAGGAAGCTGCCAATGGCACATCTCCTGCAGCTCCCCAACTCGACGACGAATATTCCAAGGATGCAAGGAAACTGGTGGAAAGTTTACCAGCAAGCTTTGCTGCCCCTACGAGCTCTGTGCTATCTGATCAGACGACAGTCTTCCTCACCGGAGCCACTGGATTCCTTGGCGCTCATATCCTCCGCGAACTCTTGTCCCGTCAGAACCCATCTGTCAAGGTCGTGGCTCACGTGCGAGCGAAGTCTGAAGAGCAGGCGCTTGACCGAATCCGATCCAGCTGCCAAGCATATGGGTTCTGGGATCCGTCCTGGACAGACCGTCTTCAGTGCGTGCGAGGTAACCTGGGAGACCCACAATTGGGTCTCTCTAATGAGATGTGGGAGAAGCTGTCACAGACTGTTGATGTGGTCATTCACAACGGAGCTCTGGTCCATTGGGTGTATCCTTACGCTAATCTGAAGCCTGCAAATGTGCTCGGTACTATTGATGCTCTGAAACTCTGTGCCAGTGGCAAGCCAAAGCAGTTTGCTTTCGTCAGTTCCACTAGCGTCCTCGACAACGACCACTACGTTCAGGAGTCGGAGCGGATCGTTGCAGCCGGGGGCGCTGGCATCAGCGAGGCAGACGATCTGGAAGGGAGCAGCTCTGGCCTCGGTACCGGTTACGGTCAGAGTAAGTGGGTTGGCGAATACTTGGTCAAGGAAGCAGGCCGGAGAGGATTGCGAGGAACCATTATTCGGCCAGGATATGTCACGGGTGATTCGACTACTGGGAGTACGTCACAAACTTTCCCATCTTTATTACTTAAGTGTCTTGAGCTAACAGCTTCCTAGCCACCAACACGGATGACTTCCTTATCCGAATGCTGAAAGGATGCATTCAGCTGTCGGCACGCCCGAACATCAACAACACGGTCAATATGGTTCCAGTCGACCATGTCGCCAGAGTTATCATTGCCTCCGCGTTCCATCCTCCGACGACACCTCTAGGGGTTGCCCAAGTCACGAGCCACCCCCGACTCCGGTTCAATCAGTTCTTGGGCACTCTCCAGACATATGGATACGACGTCCCTCAAATCGATTACGTGCCATGGGCAAGGGCTCTGGAGAAATATGTCAACGAGGGTCACAACGACAAAGAGTCTCAGAATGCACTGTAAGTTTTTCACCGTGCCCTGCGAAAAAAAAAAGGAAAGGGAAAAGTGGAAAAATACTAATACTGTTTATCTCAGGATGCCTCTTTACCACTTTGTCACCGCAGACTTACCAACCAACACCAAAGCGCCCGAACTGGACGACACCAATGCCGCGGCTGCTCTCCGGGCAGACGCCTCCTGGTCGGGCATCGACGCCTCGGCCGGCTCCGGCGTGACAGAAGACCTGATGGGCCTGTATCTGGCTTATCTGGTATCGATCGGATTCCTGCCGCCGCCACCTCAGGCCGACACTGCTCCCAGAAAGCTGCCTGCGATAACAATCACCGAGGAACAGAAGAAGACACTCGCGAATATCGGCGGCCGTGGTGGCGCAGCTTGAATTTGAAGGAATTGAAGTATATAGAAGCTAGAAGCTGTGTAACATTTCATATTTTGTTCCTGCATCAATTCATATCTACACGATTTGATACGAATTAGCCTTTGTTTTCCCCACCCCATTGTTTTCCTCCATTTGTTTGATTTCGGATTGAAAAGAAAAAAGAAAAAAGAAAGAGCGGGGGAAAATTTTGTGAATGGTAAAATAAAATAAAATATCAAGCAAGACTCGTTTCTGCCACTATATGGTTATCTGTCTAGTCTTGTTGTGACTTCCAGCTCGTTGTCCATAGTATATTAAATATAGCGAGAAGAAAGACTGGAATATTCAGATATGTCTATGACGATTTCCAAATAGATATCTGATAAATGACAAAATGACGACACCAACAACCAACACTGTGTGTTGTATGTTATGGTCATACCTCTCCTTCTGCTTCCAAAAAATTCAATACTTCCTTCACCGCCCAGTCGAGCAACTCCGTAATGTGTAGCCTGCCCTTTCCCGGAGCAACCATGACGCCAGCATCGGTCCGGATATTGGTCCCCTGGCCGGCGAGCTTGAGAAGCTCTTCCTCTAGCAGAGTATTGGAATTCTTTGACCTTTCCTGTGCTGCGAGCAACAGCGGCTTGGTCCCACTTTGCTGCTGCTGTTCCTCTTCCGGTAACAGCAGCCATGCGTGGTCCTGCACGTAGCGCGGCCAGACGATGTCGTCTACGTAGCCCGGTGGATCGGTCCAGAAGCTTTGCTCGGGTATGTGGTGGTCGGCATTCTCGAGGTCGACGGTCGTCTCTTCTAGTTGTTGATGCGGCTGCTGCTGCTGCTCTTTTTGCTGCTGCTCTTTCTGTTTGTGCTCATCGTTGTCCTCCAGCTTCTTGCTAGGCGTCGGTGCGGGACCGATAGTCACATAGCCGGATCGTGCCTCCCGACGGATTTTAACCAGATCGTACGGGGCAGGGAGGAACAGGTGCAGGTGGATGTTGTTGTGGATAGGGCGAAGGATATGCTGCGGTGCTTCAGATTCCGGCGGCGCGTAGAGGAGGAATCCTTCCAGGAAGGCGACCGTCAATGACGCGGTTTCTGCTTCTACTCCCGTTTCTTCTGCTGCTGCTGCTGTTTCTGTTTCTTCTTTGCCTTCCTGCTTCCTCCTCAGCCGTTCACCGACTTCCTTCTGCAGCTTTTCCACCTGGAACTGATCCACTCCCGGATCCGACGTCTGGTTCTGGTCTTCCTTGCTCTTCAGCCTGGGTGGAAGTGTCCCATGTTTCCGGACATAGGCGAGCGCAGATGAGAGAAAAGGCACGTCGATTGCGCCCACGGTATCCCAATCCTGAACCAAGTCGCCCGATTTGGTCCTGGTGACAGGTATCCTGTTAGGCAAACAGTCCGCGTTAGTCACATTCTCCTGGATGAACAAGAACCATATAGATCGTCTTGTTGTCTGTTAGGAAGAAAAAGGAGGCAGTAGGCAGGACCCACTTATCGTCCGGGAAATAAAAGTCATCCTCGTGGATAATAAACGTCCGCACGCGCCCGCTCACGGAGAAGATTGTCTTCAACAATCTCGCGAGAGTTGTCTTCCCGCTGGACGAAGGACCCGAGAGGCCAATGACGATCGTTTTCTTCTTTTCCTCTGCTATGCTCTTTCTTGTCGTCTGATGCTGTGACTCCTGCTTCTGCTCGCTGGTCTGCTGCCCCGCGCCGGTGCCCCCCGCGCTCGGGACCGGATCGGTCATGTCTTGACGATGTCTGTCTGCAAATATATTTATCTATTCCGAAGAGAAAAGAGGGGGAAATAAAAAAAATGATACGCCAATTAATAATGACAAAAGAAGGATTAGTCTTACTTGTGCGTCTTATTCAAGACAGTGAGCCATGGCAAGACTTGTTGCTAGCAAATCGCGGAAAAATGATGAGATGTTGAAGGCGGGGAGCGGAGCATCGCCGATAAGATAAGCTTACAAAAAGCTTCATGCCTTCCGAAAAGGGAAAACGCAATAGCCTCACATCTCACTATCAGAGGTCTTGTTAGCTTTTTATAATAAAAAGGGAATACCTGGAGTCCTCCCTCTTGAGATCTGCACTACGGTATGATAATCCCTCACTTGGCAGGTGGGGATTTTACTAGGCCGGAGAAGTGGATTCAGGTAACCATGGTCAGGAAGCTAAAATAGTATGGTCGGGTTAACTATGTACTCGCCTTCTCCTCTCTTTCTCTTTCTCTGTGCTCCGCATTTTAATAGACAGGATTCGACTGACCTGTCATCGGACTGTTACTTCGATACATCACACACTAGTAGTACTGTTCTGCGCATGCTTGATGGCTAATATCTTAACGAGAAGAAACTAGTATCCAGACTATCTTCATGATAAGATCATGCGCTTAAACGCTATTTACCCTCCAAATCTATGCACATGGCCGCGTTATTTGCCCCTATTCCAGTCCAGTCGAAACACCCCAAAAACACCCGACCCAAGGATAATATGACTGTCAGACCTTCCAACCCATCGATTGATGACCATTGACCCACGACTCCCTCTGTAATAAAGCAGCCAAAAAAAAAAAGACAAAATAAATACATAGAATAAAGACGTATAAAACATGGTCATTGATATGTAAGGCCTCAACCACCAAACAGACTCTGGACCCGAGGTTCACCCTCCGCGCCATTAGTTTGGTTCAGAGGCTGGTTGTCGAGATGCAAAGACGACGGAGATCTGGGCCTAGACGTAGACGAACTCCAAGGAGTCATCACATCGTCACCCTCCGTGACTACCTGGATTTCAAACGTCGCTTTTCTCCTCTTTGACGAAGGGGATATATCTGAATCCACCACAACTTCAAAGGATGGCGCAGGACGCTTCCGCTTGCTGGGTGACACGGAATCCTGATACGGGTCTCCAGCACCCTCGACGTAACTGTCCGGAATAGGCAATTCATGACGGTCGAAAAATCCTGGAGGATCTCTCAAGTAAGCGGCCCCTGCGGACGCTTCATCCTCTGTCATAGGTATGAACCTCTCGTTCTGGATGATCGAGCTCATTGTCGAGTCCTCCAGCATATCTTTCTCTGCATGCTGAAGCTCTGTATTAGACATTTCTTTTCTTCTGCGCAACATCTTGTCTTCCAACGTGTCTTTCAGAACCAATGTCTCAACAAATACAGGCTTCGTTTGTCCGATCCTGTGTGCCCGCTTTATCGCCTGGCTCTCGACGTTGGGCCTCCAAATCGGATTCACAATGAACACGCGGGATGCCCTGGCAACATGCAGACCATGAGAGGCCTGTCGCAAGTCCATAAGCAGGACACGAACATCCTCGGACTCATCAAACAGCGACAAATACATTGCCTTCTGGCTGGTCTTCAAAGTGTTGGCATATATGCGAAAGTCAATGCCTAGCATCTCCAGCCCTTCAGCAATCCAAAAGGCCGAGTTATTGTTTTCATAGAAAATAATGATCTTTTCTGTTTTGTGCAGCTCCAGGACTCTGTCCAACAAATAGGTTAGCTTTGCAGAGGTTGTCGCCACCATCTTAGCCCGCGAAAGCGGCGACTCAGGGGGTAATCTTTTCTTCAACCCCTTTGAAAACGTCTTCTTCGGAGATTCATGCTCTGGTTTGGGTTTATGGACTAGATTGTCCGCGACTCCTGTTTCTGCAGTCCCAGAATTCTTCTTTCCTGCGCGTTCAGAGATTTCACGTCGCGCTTTAATACCAGCACCTGCAAGACCTTCTGCCGGATCATCAGCGGTGAGACGTGAAGTGATGAACTTTTGGGCTAGTCTGGCTTGAGAAATTCCCAATAAGAGAGGCTCCTGTCGGTCTTCAGAAGTCAGCGACCACAGAGCCCGAGCATGTTCAGGAAAGTCTTGAACGAAGACTCCCAATTCGTCGAACTGGCAGAAAGCATCCCAGCTTCTGCAATTCAATGCTTTCTGTGCAATTCGAATGCCCTCAGAGAGCAATTCAATATCTTCAGATGCCATCTTTTCCCTGTTTTTCTCCAGATACTGCACCGCCACATCGATTGTAGTCTCGAGATTCTTCTGGTCGAAACCAGTCCACCAAAAGCCTGCCTGTCGTAGGTTGTTGATTAGCAAACTAAGATGTTTTCTATTCCTCCGGTGGAACATATAATCTTGATCCTTCCGCTCGGAGGTGACGGCATTGACCGTTAGATTGAACAGGAAAAGATTGATTGCGAGCTTGTCGTAAAAGGTTGGCTCAAGGTAAACAACCCTGTTGTGCAACCTTGGAAGCGGAAGTTCGCGGTTGATCACGTCCAAACGATGTCTCACGACCAGGCTCTGAAGAGTGGCTCGAAGCGAGGGCGCCTTTCTTCGCTTTCCATCCTCACCGATCGGCTTCATATATCTTGTCCAGTTTGCTGGATCATTAGCACGCGAGTTCGACCAGGGTTTCAGGTCCAAGAACTCGACGACGATAAGGCGCAATTTATCCAGATCTTTCAACTCCTCATCTATTGCATTCCCAGTCTTCCTCCGAGATCGCAAAACAGAGGAGGCAATCTCATCAGGGGATTCAGTGTCACTTGATTGAGTCTCCTGTGATGCTAGGCTAATTTCAAGCCCGTACAGTCCGTAGGACGGTGTTCCCGAGACAACCCATCGACGCTCCACGTGGATCTGGTCAAGCATATGGATGGTACTGGTCTTATGCCCATGACCTGCGACATTGTGACCTTCATCCACAATGATACGAAGCCAGTGGAACTTTTTCAGTGGAGAATGGTATTCAGAATGAGATGGAGAACGGCGGTTGTTGACAGGCTCTCCTGCCTCCTTTTCAAAGCGTGTTCTAGAGAAGAGAATAATGTCGTATTGCAAGAGTTCCTCCGCGGAAGGGGTAACATCCGCACTGGTTCGAAGGATAAGAACCTTGAGCCCTTCCGTATGTGTTTCGATCTCATGTTTCCAATGATCGACAAGATTAGGTGGTACAATAATAAGAGTCCCAGAACACAGAGTAAGATGAATAGGGGGTGGGCGCGGCTTCGCTCCCTCGCGACTCTTGTATTTCGACGGCGGCGGCGGTATTGTATATGTCCCGCGGTTCCGTTCGCAGGCCTGCACGCATCGATCGAGATTCATGCCAGCTTCGCGTAGCTGGTCAAAGTGGCTCTTCCATGGTATGGAAAAGCGACCAGCAGTGGCGGCCGCCATTTCCATGAGGGAGCCAGTGGTTTTGCGAACCGGGTTCGTTGTTTCCTGATATTGAGTTGGAATACGAGGAACATGACCGCGCGTTGCTAGGATCACTGCAAGACAAATCAACGTCTTCCCGCAACCCATGGTTTCTGAGAGAATGCCTGTAATAGAATTAGAGACAAACAATTACTACATCACCCAGGAATATTACCTCCGCAGGCCTCCGAATACAGCCTTTTCTCACGCAAAATGCTCCCTTCCTCCTTATCATAATAATATTCTTGGCCAGTAGGGCTTCGGTAGGCTTGTAATCGCGGATCCAACGTTTGCGCTGGTTGCACTTCTCTTTGAACCATAGTAGCCGCTGAACGACGCTGATAGGGATATAACGGCGTCTTGAGTCCAATCACGCTCGAGCATTCTCCAGGTACAGAACCATCACCTGTTGAAATGCCTAGTAAATCCTCCATCGCACGTCGGCCATATGGGTCTTTCATGTTCTCCACGTTGGGCTTCGGGTCGTCCAGAGTGTTGAAGATATACCACAAGGACTCCTCCTCTGCTGCATCCGCGCTCTTCTGTGTTGTGTTTCCATCGACAATAAATTTTCCTTCCCAAGCCTCTGGCGAGCTATCTATCCTGGACATAACGGTTCGTAGTGCCCGTCTGAGCGATGTACTCGAACGCGGAATGAATTTGCGGCCCGTGTCATCTGGCAGGACAAACACACGAACATAAGACCATCCTGGATGATCATTATATACATGCCATTGAGTTCGGAGCCACCGGTGTTTTTCTAAGCTCACAAGCTCCGCATGAGGGAATCTAGATCCTTCGGGTGGTTCATCGTTGGGATCGGACAGTTTATCGCATCTCCTCAAAATTCCAACAGGAATATAGTTCTTCAGGTCTTCAAGAAACTCGATCTTCTGCTTTTGCGCCTCACTCACGGACTCCGTCTGTATCTGTGATGTTGACGGTGAAGAAACCGTCGAAGAGGACGACGCGGAGACAGCAATATGAGGACTAAATTGGACATTGTGCACAGGCGATGCGATCGTTTCTGCATCCATCGAGCAGAAACCATCTATTTCATTCGCCTAATACAAGAGCGAGCGTGTTAGTAAAATCTCCATGTGTCGCATCCGAGTCTGCAGAATTGAGGTGCCTCTGGAAAACTAACCTTGGAGGCAATAGCTGCCCCTGATGGAACGGTCAGCACGGGAGCACGATCTTCAGAAGCCATAATTGGCAGAAAGAATAGTTAACATTCGTTTTCTGGATGCATATAGGCGCACATTATGCATCGACGCTGTGCCGAGAAGCCTTGCAAGATTAGTAACCATCAATTCATGTGAAGCATTAGTTTTATACAGGACGACAGAAGAGAGTTATCAGAATCTTGCAAAAAAGCCTCAGTGCAATGCATCTCCCGTAGCGATTTTCCGGCTGCTACCTGAGGCAACAGAGTCGTCTCGAACCAAGTGGGCGATGTGAGTCCTCGAGATAGCCAAGTGAAAGGGCGTCGAGGCAGAATACCGGGCATCCACCGTACACGAAGTTTTCATTGGTCAATTACTCCCACCGCCTTTGCTGATACGCTTCGGGTTCCAGCGGCGGATGCCGCCTGCCGTTTTGGGTTATATGGAATCGACCTTAGCAAAATGAAGGATCGTTTGGATTCTGCAAAATACCAATTTTCCTCTCTTTTAGTCTTCGATGAAGTCACTAAATTGTTGCGTGATTTTGGTACAGAAGCTGAATTCAAATATAAGACAGAGAGAGACACCCTGCTAAATAAAATACATGCAACGACGCGAAAGTGACACGAACGCATTCGTTAGAAGCGCCCGCTCGAAGCAGAGTTTTACATGGTCTATTGAGAGTGAACACGAACATCAAGGCAAATCAATGTACCTGAATCAGCGCTTGATAGCAACGATGATGATGATGATATGTATGCCAAACGGTTTTGCTAACTAGCGGGTCAAGAAGTCTTCGATTTCAAAGCCCACCCGTCTCAGTGCTTTCTCCTCGATATCTTTCGGAGAATCAGGCGTCCTTCTGACAATGAGCGTTCTCGCATCATTCAGCCGAACTTCGACTGGATTCCCTACGCCGTGTCGATCCAGCTCTTCCCTATCGCATTCTCGTATGTGAACTGTCACATCCGGGCCGATACAAGCCCGCCAGAGGGACGCCATCCACTGCCAATGGTCTAAGGGTGCGTAAGAGTCGTGTATAGGAATGGAACATGCAAACGTGTCTGCCGTGGTGAGCTGATACCGTGGCACCAGGGCAATGGGAATTGGATTCGGGCCTTTCGCATGGGAAGCAGAGCTTTGACCCAATCCATTTTGACCCAATCCATTGGCTATTCCGTTGTTGGAAGATGTCATGGGTGACGATATTTGCGTCCGAGATGACTTTGGAATGGTTGATTTTGGCGACACAGGTGATGAAGGATCATCAACAGACCTGGTTCCATTGGATCCAGACTTCGAAAGAATGAATTGGGTAATTTCATCCGAGATCCGATGCCAAACTGAAATGACATGGAGATAGTCAACCGTGGCATCGCCCATTTCCCCCGCCTTAAACGAATTCTGACGTGATCGCACCTCTGGTCCTTCGAAGACACGCACTGTATACTTCCCGTCTTTGGTCAACAGAGTCCCCAGATATTTAAGCATGACATTAACCAAGGCCGGGTCTTGTCCATCCACCGCGATCACCGCGCCTCGAGGCAGGGAGTTTTTAACTATGGAACGATTGCTGAGTGGCGGGGAGATCTTGGCTAGCACCTTGATCTTGTTCACAACCGATATGGTCATCACCGTGGCTTCAACGTCACGCTGATTTTGTATAGACGAAAGACTGGTCTTCAATGGTGGTAGTTTAAGACTGGGGTCATAATACCCATCATTCTCAAGTCGACGATGGGTGCGACCATTAGTGGCTGATTCACAATGGCTCCGGAAATATGCCACGCCCGGGCGAGGGACATAGGTTTTCTGCGAAGACAGGGAATATGGCTCCGAGTCAAGACTACCGTCATTAGGATTGATCTTGTGAATTCCATTAGTGGTCAAGCGACGGCGTTTGACATTGGAGGATGGAGGGTCAGTGTCCTTCCAGTAACTTTGACGTGAAGCCCGGCGATCATTGTCGACGCGAAGTTGCGAAGGACTTGGAGGACGAGCAGGAGCGTCTCGGGCTCCGCGAGAAGAATTGCTTTGAGAAGATGATAAATCGGCCTGGGAGGACCGACTACTAGACATTGGTCCGCTCGCGGTCAAAGGCGTATCCGGTGCCGAGGGAGGATTCATGAGGCGACCACCGCAACGATTGCAGACTGTAGCTCCAGCAGGATTGGTGCTTATACTGGAGCTTCCACTGCGGGAACCGCCATCCCGTCCATACCGACGAGGCTGATAGCGATAATCTGGATATTGCTGCTGATGTCGAGCTTTCTCTGCCTGTTCCAATAATAGTCAGCGTTGTCTCTCAATCTACGTCGCCAGGAGCGGTACCTCTGCCAGAGCTTTCCATTCGTCTTTGGTCTCCTCGGGCAGCGCTCTCCATTGTTCTCCAATGATCTTGGAAATCTCTGGATTGGCAAGTCCTGGGTTTTGTGCCACGACGGCAGCTTGATAGTGTTGCCGGTACAATATGAAGGCTGTTTGTCCAGCATAACAGTTAGCCACGGCCAGAAAAAAAATATAATACGCATATACGCCCAGGCATCAAACTCAGTGTGTGCTATTGCAGGAAAATTGCAATCCTCGACAGGTCTGGGAGGAAGGAACGTCTAAGATAGGTTATGGTATAGTACATACCATTTCGAGGTCTCGGGATCTTTGGATCAGGCTGGCATAGACAGAACTGTGTGGCTGACTCCTTTGCAGACTCCTTCTTGGTTGGGCTAGACGAGGCTGATCGGTCCCGAGGACAGGCTTCATCCGCCGCGGCCTGCTTGGGAGTAGTCAAGATTCTCACTGGGATCTGGTTCTGAGACACTTTTTCCCGATTGAGAGATGACAGCTGCATTTGACCCAAGGATGTTGAGCAACTTGCAGGTTCGGCGAGATGACGATAACTGCCATTCGGACGGGTGGTAGGCAGACTGTCGATTCTGTTCGTCACGGCCGTAGTGACTGGCGACAGGCCATGATGATCATTCATGATCTTGTGCTCCAGCAGGCTGCTGGTTTTTCTATGGATTCTACCGGCCTGTTCATCGTACAAGGCCGCCGGCCTGGGGAGAACCCGGTCGAAAGACATGAGCAGAAAGAGAGAATCAATTAGGACCTCAATATGAACGATAGTATAGGTTCTATAAGATCAAGGCATGAACAAGAAGAGAAAGAAAAAACCCCCCTCGACCGCAAGATAGAACGTGGACACAAGAGGATTTTATGATCAGGTTTACTATCGACTAAGAAATATTATCCTGCCATTTGAATGCCGCCGCGGTGCTCCATGGCATCAATCAGCATAGAACACTGACCGAGGCGAGAGACCCGTGGCGAGCAGAACCATGGCGGTGCAAGCAAAGTCCTTTGTTACATACATATGTAGACTCCCACTGAGGTCTCCATTTTTAGGAGCCTTTTGCTGCTGCCCCGCCTCTTTGTCCGCGACTCTGGGGCGGGAGATCGATTTGCAAACAATTGATGCAAAGTTAACGGATCGCTGGGTCGGCGTTGAGGGCAAGGTCTGGAAAGGCCAGTCTTTGCTTCCAGGAATGTGAGCAATTGTTATCTTCAGCCTGTTTTCTTTGTTCGGCGCCAACCCCGAATGCGGCAGACCGCAGCAGCAGAGTTGCCCCGGCCGCTTCTTTGACGCGGAACCTCCCAATGCGACCACCGCCGCGGAATGAGCCCTGCACACAGTCATTGGATCGCGCAGGCATCAAAGAAGAGACACAAGGCGATTACGACATGGTCCATTCTAGAACCCCAATCGGCGGGTGCGGGAGTGTCCCAGCCAAACTGGCCCGTTCGACCCTCCAGCGTTGCACCGCCATGAAGTCACGACTTCACCACATGGGTATTCCAGTCAGGGTGGAGAGCTGCAGCTGCATCGCTTATCCACTTTTCTGCCTTCACGATCGATCGGATCGGAAAACGCGGAGCCCATCTTGATGGTTGATGGATAGGTCGAGAACTCGACGAACCTGGACTTTGGCAGAGTTTCTCCAGCTAGAGAACCAGGGAGACGTCTACGAGACATTCTACTTCGCATGGTGTCGACTTCATAGAGTCACCAATTCGGCAGGTCTCCAGCACTCGATCTCCCAATGCGCGCAGGGAACCGATGATAGTCTAGTCGCCAATTGACGGCGGTGAAATTGAGGAACGAGGGAAAGAAGAGGAAGCAATGCGGCGTTTGACAATTGGGAAGCCAACGGCTCTAGCTGCCGGCGAATCGCTTGGATTTATTTTCAGACTGCGACCCTGTCTCAGACGCAGATTCCCTTGATTGAGGCTCGGGAGCGGTGTGGTTTAGCCAAAGCTCTTCGATGCCGCGGAAAACCTCAGTGCCCAAGATTCTGTGGGCTGAAGGACCAAGATGCATGTCATCCCTGCAATAATCGTCAACTCCTTGAAGACTCCCCCTTTGTTTTCACGGTGGTTGGGCATTACTTACCAGAAGAGGTATTTCTCGGGATTTTCACACGGCGTTTCACTCGAGAACAGCCCCTTCTTGCGGGTCTGGACACAGGCATGTGCGACATCCACCCAGCCCGGGTCTTCATTCTTTCCCAGCTCGTTGGCATCAATCATCCCGGCGGCGAAAAATTGCCACTCGCGGATCTGATCCAGCATAAAGTGATTTGTGTCGAAGAGGTAGATAGATCCGTGATCCCATTCTTTGGCTTTTCCGCGCAGTACGTTGTTCCAGCTGCTAACGAGGGAGACCATATTCTTCTGCTCCTCCAGAGATTGGGGAAATGCAGGAAGGAAGGTCACGTCAACTGCCATCATCAGGATGATTTTGGAGTCATTCGACGCCCATCTCTCCGAGAGGATGGTTAGCTGCTCGAATAGGGAATCGATACTGTGACTGATGGATTGCGACGCCAGGTTGTAGTCCTCTCCTACGAATTTCCACAAATCCCAAACCATGAAGGACACAGCGAAGATTGTATTACTCTGTCGTTCCTGGATGGCTTCACCAGACAGGCCTTCTTTTCGTAAAAAGTCCTGTTCGGCGGCGGACCACTGATCGATCTGAGATCGGAGGTCGGGCAACGGACGTCGCAGCCACGACAGTCCTGACTCGAAAGATTGCAATTCTGCGTTATCGATCACTGCACCAGCATACGCGCCTTGGAAGACTGACGCGGTCTGAGCCATATTCTCAAGGTAACAAGAGAACTGACAAAATCAGCCTGAATCCGTTTGTCTAAGACGGGATGGAATCGGTGTTTGTTTACCATTGAACAGAGCCATTCCGTCCACAGTGGGCCTTGTTCTTCATCACGGGAAGCACTGTCGCTCCACGAATCGCCAAAGACAACCAACCTCTTCTCGGTGACCTGAAACGCGGGATCATGGCCCGGAGAAATTGGCATGTAGTCGCTGGACATCCACAGCAGCCGGACAGAGAACAAGATGCTGCATCCTGCCAAGGCGACGAGGATGTAGAATTTGCTCACAAAGCGCATTGCAGGGATTTCGACTGGATCCGTAGATAATGACAAATACCAGGTTTCTTTCTAATGCGCTCAAAGAGAACATGCGCATTAGAGACAAAGCAGTGGGATGAATGGAACCCAATGATGTCCTCCCGGGGCTTGCCTTTGTTGTTTCTTTCTTCTCTTTCGCGCGATGTCACTCTTTGTCCTGGGTCTGTGGCGTCCAAGGCATTTAAAAATAGCAGAAGAGAAAGAAGTCGAGAGAGGAGGACGAGGACGGTAGAGTGATCGAGTCGGTGTCTTCTCAAAGCAACGGAAGTGACAACAAAAATAGCCAAAGACACTGGAGAATCGATACAAATCGGCCAGTCCAGTGAGGCTCGACTAGGGCAGAGGATTCGAAATCGCGAATATTATAGCCGCAGAGTCAACACAGGATAAGAACACACTACCATTATTCTTAATAAGTCATCCGCTGGGCTTCGTTTGAAATCGTTGCCACGCGTCCCAGACTACCCATGAGACGAAAAATAACCTACGGTCTGTCTCTACTATTACTAGGCTGGAAATACTCCCTTAGCCTTGTACGGAGCCCCTCGGACACGGAAGCCCTCCGTACAGTACTGGACAGCACATTCATCCTGTCGCGTGCTCCGCTTCCCGCCACGGTACGGGATTTTTAGCGCGGGCAGGGGCAAATAAAGGCGTTACGGGAGGCCCCTAATGAAGCCATACCACCTCTTATGCCCAGCCAGGCCAGGTAGTTAGAGCTGTTGGCGCCCAGGGTACGGAGTTTCATCCACTCTTTCACTAGTCGCCGTTAGCCACCAATTATCGACATCTTAATCGCAACGTCGGCGCTCTCGACGCCGGCACTTGGGCGGAAGAGCGAGGAAGTCTGAAGGGTACTAAATACGGAGTGCTCAGAGTACGGCACGGCACCCACGGTTCGGACAGCCGAGAAAGGCGATTAATTAACGTTGCAATGAGATATTCTACAGCGGGCTATCATTATTACTGGAAGGTCCTCCGTACCCCTGAACAAAAGCTGGCAAGCAGAAAACATTATTAATAGCTCGTGGGCATTAACACAGTTCAGTACATAATTTGGTGGGGGGAGGCGCCACTTCGAAAGGCTTACGTAGACAAGCACACGAGCCGGAGTCTTAAAACACCATAGTTGATAAGACTAGATCTGATAAGGTGTAGGCGCTAAGAACTAGTCTCGTCTGCGTATGATCATTGGCTGCCAGGCGAGTGTATTGCGAATTTGCCCATTGTCGGAGTTTGTCTGGTCTGGTCTGAAGTCCCAATCAACAAAATCCCTAAGTCACAAGTCAGACTGCTAAAGCACATTGTTCTGCGGATAGATACCCCTTGGGCAAAAACCGGCCACATTTAGAGAGACTAAGAGACTTGTTACATCGCAGCTTGGATATTTAACCACGGAGTAATCTGCATCTGCACCGTTATTTTTTTTTTCGATCTCGGACAGGCAAATTACCTTCCTATCTAGTTTGTAGTCATCTGGCGCATACATGACGTCTTTGTCTTGTGATCCTTTGCAGGTGTCAAATGAAGCTCCTCTACGTAGTGCGACTTACCCCAGGGACCAGCGTTACACTGCCTGGTCTGCTAGCAGTCAACCCCAGCTGAAATGCAGGAGTATAGTACTCCGGAGTATAGTATAGCTGCCGGCAGAGGCAACTAGCAAAGCGAAAATAATAATCTGCCGTAGATGCCAAGACAAGTCCTGAGAGAGATGCCTTTGGTGGATGTCATTTACATATGTACGAGTAGCGGTGCGGCCTGGTTGGTTGCAGCGACCAAAGCAAGGCTCTTGAGTCCTGAGTCTGACTCGTGAATAATGCTCGTCACAGCGAATGGCAGTGCATCTGATGTCTTGGTTAACAACAGCCTGGGAGAATTTTAGACAGATACTGGCACATAACTAGGATACGTGTATACATGTACTGTACAGAGTACTAGAAGTATACTCCGTAGAGGAACAAGGCGATGAACAGGTCCGATCACAAGACAGCTGCAGCAAGTGTGACAAGCATATTTACTCCATACAACGTCCCGCAATGGCTTCCTGGCAAAGAATGGCATTCTTGCCTTTAGATGTCACGCGGATGATCCAGGTCACATGATCGAAACGGGTTCCCGCTCACGTGGGCCCTGACTAAGCAGCCCTACCCTGCCCAGATGGGAAATCTTGGCACGCCCAAGACCAGTTTAGCGCGGTGTTAGTCAGCCGCCCACACAGACGGAAATCTCGCTACACCACGCCCACACCCGAAATTTCCCACACAGGAGTGTGATCTCGACGACCTCCAACCCTCCGCGACTGTCGACAACCTCGCGCCCCGTCTTGACCGCGCAACTCCGTCAAGATGAAGCTCAACATCTCCTACCCGGCCAATGGGTCGCAAAAGTTGATCGAGATCGACGATGAGCGCAAGCTCCGTGCGTTCATGGAGAAGCGCATGGGAACTGAAGTCAGCAATCCCCCTCTCTGTTCAGGCTTTTTTTCTCCAGCCGCCGTGGAAGACAGAAATCAATGAAGGACAAGCGACTGATGGGTCATTTGCGTACTACAGGTTCCCGGCGACTCCCTGGGCGAAGAATTCAAGGGTTACATCTTCAAGATCACCGGTGGTAACGACAAGCAGGGTACGATGACATTTCCTCCCCGAAATTTAACAGGGACACTCTATTATTTGGTGAACAGTGCAGCTGACTGTGCGAACAGGTTTCCCTATGAAGCAGGGTGGTATGTTTGCGATCGACTCGCCTGTTACGCGGTTCTCCCACGACTAATTAGATTCCGACAGTTCTCCTGCCGCACCGTGTCAAGCTTCTCCTCAGCGATGGTCACAGCTGCTACCGTCCCCGCCGTGACGGAGAGCGGAAGCGCAAGAGTGTCCGTGGAGGTACGAATCCAGCCCTGTTCATCGATCACTAGGATCCGCGCAGTGTCTCACATATCTTCTTGTATTATAGCCATCACCGGTCCCGACCTGTCTGTCCTCGCTCTCAGCATCGTCAAGCAGGGTGAGAACGACATCCCCGGTCTCACCGACGTTGTCGTTCCCAAGAGGCTCGGTCCCAAGCGTGCCACCAAGATCCGACGATTCTTCGGTCTCGACAAGAAGGACGATGTCCGCAAGTTCGTCATCCGCCGTACCGTGACCCGCGAGGGCAAGAAGGAGTACACCAAGGCCCCCAAGATCCAGCGTCTGGTGACCCCTCAGCGTCTCCAGCGCAAGCGTCACAGGATTGCCCTGAAGCGCCGCCGTGCGGAGGCTGCCCGGGAGGCTGCGTAAGTTTCCTTTAGTTCGAGTTTCTTCATGAGGTCATTTTCTAACCTATTTCCGACTTATATAGCAACGAATACGCCAAGCTTCTGGCTTCTCGTGTCCAGGAAGAGAAGGCCAAGCGCGAGGAGCTGCGCAAGCGGAGAGCGTCTTCGATGCGGAAGTAAATTTTTGGGGGTGAGACAAGGGGTTGTCTGTTGGTGATCGCGTCTCCTTCAACTCCTGAGGTATACGGCTCCCAGGAGAGAGAAAATAGTTTTAATGATGACAAAAGCAAAGAGGGGCGGAGGAGCCAACTACAGTGAAAATGAAAGAGGACAGGGAAAACCAACCTAACCTAGAGAACCACATAGACGAAAGTGATGATAATCTTTATTAGGGCATGGAAGATTCTTCATACCGTCTATGTGTGTGTCTGTGTACGGGCTACGGCGCGCAACAACAGAAAAAATTCCCGGACGGAAAGCATTTTCCTTTTTGTCTTTTTGTTTTTTATTAAAAATGGCAAATGGCATGACTAGGGTTTCTGCTTTTGCTGTTTTTTTCTTTTCGATCGTATGAACTTTAAAAAAAAAGGATAACATTGTACTACTTCCTTGTGCCGTCCATCCATCCGTCCACCCCGTCCATCCATAACGGCCTTTTTTTGCCCCCTGACAAGAAGACAGTAGAAAAAAATACATATAATTTGTGATCGTAGAACTGGCGTTGTATGAATATTCTACAGTACTGTACTGTACTGTGCTGTGCTGTGCTGTGTAGCTCACTGTACAGTTTTCGAGAACGAACAACGCAACAGCGCCCTTTTCCCAGGGGTTAAAAAAAGGGGGGAAACATGATATCATGTTGTCCTGGTCCTTTTTTTTTTTCCCTACTCTCTCTTTTTCTGCTTTCCCATGCCGTGCTAACATATACCTACCTAATTACCCTAATTCCCAATCCCTCGTGAAAGCCATCTCAATAATTCATTCAACCCAACCCAATCAATCAATCAATGAATCCCGACGTCGATTAAAAAAAAAAGAGAAGGGAAAAAAAGGCAAAGTTGAAAAACAGTTCCCTAGCTCTGCGAGTTCATGCAAGAGACCAAATCATGAAAAAGGGAAAAAGAAGATGCTATAATCGAAAACCCGTGTCCCGCTGACATGACGACTCTTCTCTGGGTATATCTAACCTTTACCATTACCTAACCGGTCTCGCAGAATTGATTCGTCTCTTCGTCTCGTAGGTATTCGTTAATAAAGAAAAAAGAGAGGAGAGAAAGAGAAGGGAAGAGGGAATTTTCCACCCCCCACTGCTAAACCACCGCATGTGAAAAGAGGAAGCTGACGGATTCGCCGTTGTGGGTGCGTCGACACGCTTCTGCCAGCGTGGGACTGATATCGATCGTCTCAATCTTGTCGCAAAGCTCCTTCTTCTCCTCGTGGGGCACAGTATTGGTGACCACGAGTCGACGCAGACAGCTGTTGTTGAGGTTCTCGATCGCATTGCCGGAAAGGATTCCATGCGTAACGATGGCATTGACCTCGCGCGCCCCATGCTTCATGATCGTTTCCGCAGCCTTGACAAGCGTTCCACAGGTGTCGGCCATGTCATCGACGATGATCGCAATCTTGTCTTTCACACTGCCAACAAGCACCATCCTGGAGACTTCATTGGGGCGCGGTCGCTCCTTGTGAATCAGCGCAAATTGAAGATCAAGACGGTCGGCAATCGCAGTCGCTCTGGTGATTCAGTCAGCAGGCCGGTCACCACTAAAGAATTTTACCATCTAATAAAGGCTCTCAATCCTTACTGACCTCTTAGCACCTCCAGCGTCCGGACTCACGATGACACAGTTCTGTACGTCCAGGTTTTCCCGAATCCACTTCAGCATGCTCGGTTCCGCATACAGATTGTCAACAGGGACGTTGAAAAAGCCCTGAATCTGACTGGCATGGAGATCCATCGTTATGACATGGTTGCACCCAGCGGTTTGGAGCATATTCGCCATAAGCTTCGCGGTGATCGGCGCACGACTTTTATCCTTCTTGTCCTGGCGAGCGTAAAAGAAATTAGGAATAACGGCAGTAATCCGCCTGGCTGAAGCGGTCTTGCAAGCGTTGATCATGATGAGGAGCTCCATGAGTCCATCATTGATGTCGTTCGGACGTGTGGACTGCAAGATGAATACTGTATGGGAAACGTTAGTTCTTGAGAGATTATCCCAACAAAAAAAAAGTGATCAGTCCGTACCATCTTCATCTCGTACACTTTCTCCAATCGTAACACTCGTTTCGTGGTTTGAATACTGAAGCACCATGATCTTGGTCAACTCGATGCCTAGCCTGTAGACATCAAAAGCCATTTAGCACGGCAATGAGAACCTTCCAGAGGTGAAATCCAGAGTGGATTAGAACTACATACCGATCAGCGACGAGCTTTGCAAGCTCAGGATGACTGTTGCCAGTCAGAAGTTTGATCGAATTGGACGCCATCTTTTTCCTTCCGCCGTCTTTGCTCGGGCAGGTACCGGGACTAGGTGACTCTGAGAGACTCCCGCAGAGATTTTGCAGCAAAAAAATATTTAATTAAAAAAATGAGAGACTATTTACAAGCAAACGATGCCCATGGCAGTTGGCGATCGAGTCTCACTCCGCGGCAGATTAAGAGAAATGTCAAAAGAGTTTCCTTATCCGTGACTGATAGATAATAGATGTGGGGAAGCAAGTCCGCTTCCAGTAAAGACCTTCACCGCCTCAGCCCAAAACTTATCCGTCTGGATGAACCGCTACAAGATGACAAGGCTAGATGAGGTAACTTTTCAAATTGGAAGGATCTAAAAATTAATTACACACATGATAAATAACCATATCCGCAGGGCTACCGTGACACTGAAAGGGACCGGCTGACCTGCACTTCAGCCAGTTCTTTCAGTCCGTGTCGACCCCTCCCTCGTCACAACTTCACAACCTCATGAAAATCAAGGCATCAGAAATCTAAAATACAAAGGCCCACAACGCATCCTCCATCCGTCAAATGCAAAGAAAAAATTTTGGTCAATTTGAACAACCCAGCAAAAATCTCGAGCGCCAACGCATGCTTGGATATATCGCGCACATGCCCATAATTATCGCGAAGCGTAACGAAGAAAACCCCCTCGTCTTCATGCGAACCCGAAGTATTCACTGCCAGCTGTCATCGCAGTGTATAGACGCGACCTAAGCTCCTCGTAGCTTTCATATTCCGGCAGATCAAGCTCTAGATAAGACCAGTCAGCAAACCAAATTCACAATCGAAGATGAATGAGCCAGAAGACACTTACGGTTGAAGCATGTGTGGGAACTGGGAAGGCGATCTTTGTTGCCGTAGTCACGATGGATGTTGAATTTGCTAAATCCATTCATGCCCTCAAGCTCTGCGAAACCATTGAGCGGAACTTTGCTGGTTCCCGTGACAAATTGGAGCAACTTGGCACGTTCTTCCTTATCGAAAGACCGGACAGCACGCCAGAACCACTGAATCTGCGGGGACGACGGCGAGTAGTTGTGATACTCCGTGTTGTTCTTCCAGTCGTCCACATCGATCTCAGGCAGACCAGAAATCAGCAGTTCTAATTCCTGTTCGTTGAAGATGGAGATGAGGTCCGGTGGTATAATATCATGGAAACCTTTTCGATCTGTTAGCATTTATCGATGGAGTTCTCGTAGATAACGATAACTCACCTTTAAGGAAATTGTCCAGCTGTTCCTTGACGGAACCAACCAAGCGATATTCAACCACCCGTTGTACATATTCTTCCTTGTTCTCCTGGGTGACTGGAATGTTGCGACCGTTGGGGATAAGGTCAATGATCTGCTTCTCTCCAAAGTCATCCGTTTCGACGGAGAAGGTTTCGGTGATGATGTCTGTAATGTCGTTCTCCAGCATCCACACTAGAGACTTGTAGTAATCCAGGTCGAGAGTCTCCATATCCTTGAGTGACACGGGCTTCCCGAGGATTCGCTTGTATACAGCTCTGCTGAAGTGGCAATCGAGAACACGGCCTTCGTACAACGCCTTGCCAATAATGCGACCGATGAACTTGAAGAACATCAGATGCTCGGAGTTGACACCACTCAGACGGTTGGGATGGAAAGTGGTCCGATCAGAGGCGACGGGAATGAACAACGCGTAGTTCGGATTGAACATTCCACGAGCAAGAACTTGGAACCATTCTCTAGTCACACCTCCCGCATCTACACCCTCCTCACCGTGGAAACGGACATTCAATTTGCCGTATTTGACCTCTTCTGCCGTCTTGAAATAGAGAGACTTGAATGAATCTAGGAAAACCTGGTCTCTCCGGACGGAAAGCTGAAGAGGAGGGTGAGGGTGTCGGGCTTCGGCACCACGTGTGTGGAGACGACGAGTGAAGTAGTTGCGCTTGTTGTCGAATTCCAAGACCTTGGGATTCTTGACTAAGAGAGAGAATGTCCCACTCATGAGCCTTGGATTCTGGCGGACGAGCTCATTGAGGATCTTTCGATGATCTTCTGTAAACTTGAAGAACAGATTCTCCATGTTGATGACGCCTTCTGTGTCAGGAGGCGGACTAGACACAGAATACTCCCTGCCGCGCCGGGAGAGGGGCGCATCCTTCAGAGTGGTATTCTTGCAAACGACCATAAGGGCCTCGATCAAAGGAAGCAGGGTTGTAGCGACGTTCAACATGTTCTCTTTCTGCCGAATGACCGTCAAGCATTCGCTCAGTTTGCCCCAGAGCGGACCGAATGTGGAGCTTTCGTACAGGGTCTTCAACACGTCCTCTTTAGGAGCAGACGCCGGCTCCGCGCCCTTAATCTTCTCCAGACGGCTGGGGTCAAATAGGTAGTCCAGTGCCGTCAAGACACGAAGCAATTTCGCTTGATCGGAACTGGCGGGAGAGAACTTCGAAAGTGCAAGACCCTGCAAGTCAGTGCCGGTCCGCGCTTGGTGGATATGGGGCAACAGTTCATCGAGATCCGTTAAAATTGCTTCACTCAAGTCTTGCGCTTGGTTGATCAATTCTCTTCCAATGATGTCTTTGGCCCCTGGAATTGCGGAAAGGTTGTTGATTGTAGACAGGGTGTCTCGGAAAGTCTTTCCATTACACTCTCTGGCTGCCAAGATGCGGACCACCAGCTGCAGATTATGTTCCGGAACAACAGGAGGCTCCATTGTTCGTCTCTTAGGCTTATCTTCTTCAACGCTTGGCTTTGGAACCTCCGCTTCAGCCGGTTCCACTGACTCAGACGCGTCTTCTTGTAGGGGAGCGGCCTCCGTCATGGTGGTATCTTGACCAGCCTCTGTCGACTCAACCACTTCTTCCGCAGGCTCCTCTGCACCGGGTCGCTCAGGCTTCTTGCCCTTCCCTTCTTCCTGCTTCTCTTTCTCACGCCGAAGCAGTAATGTGAGGGGTTGAGTTATCGCGCTAAGAAGGCTGGACAGTTGCTCCATGCAAGTCGGGCTTTCCATGATCAACTTGCGGTCCAAGAGCGACAGCAGTGCATTCAGAGCGAACTTGTTTTCCCGATTCTCCCTGGCCTTGCCCTTACGGAATGCCTTGAGTTTGAGGGCAGAGGCAGAATCATGTTCGGTAAGGAAAAACCAGGAAATGTGCGGGTTGTACTGAGTCAAGAAAGAGAGCGTTCCGAGGCACTGCTGCACAACCATGAGCGGTGTCACTTCATTGTTAGCACTCGGAGTCGCCTGGAAAGAGAGCGTCCGCTTGGCAGATTGGGGAGTCTTCTGGGCTGCCGGTGTTTTAGCACGTAGGGATAGATGTGCAAAGCTGCGCTCGATAGCTGTGACATCCGCACTTCCATCCTGGAGAATCGAAAGCAGGAGACTGACAACCTCCACCCGGTTCTGGCGATTTTGGCAGACATTATGAAGAATGTCATTCAGTTGGTGGCGAGCGTTGCCCTGGAGAGGCATGAACATCAAGCGGAGCAACGTCGCAACGCCGGCCTTGTCGAGTATTTGGACGATCTGACGGCGCTGGGGCTTTTTGGTCTCTTGATGTTCCGCCTCTTCGTCCCGCTGCCGCTGGTCGGCGCGGCCAGCATCGCCAAACTGGGCCAATCTTCGACCGGTGAGAGCGCGAGCCTCCGAAAGGAATTCCGGACCCAGTGATGCAAGGATTTCCTCAGGCTGGTCAGCAAGGACGGCCTGCCGCAGTGACGGATCGAGAGTAGCGATGAAGCTGGCCGGATCCATATCTTCAGCATGGGCAGGAGCACCGCTTGCTGCGGCTTGCCTGCGAGCATTCTCCCGCTCTCGACGGCGACGGGCTGCCGCCTCCTGCTGCAACAGTTCTTCGCGGATTTCGGGTGGCAGGGCTTCGAGGAACTCTTGGTTTATCTCAGTCGGTTCCTCTCCTGACGCCACAGCCTGAGAACGTTGCTCTGCGAGTTGCTGCATGATAACTTCTTCCCTGAGATCTTCCGGCAGCGCCTCCAGGTACTCCGGATCAATTTCCATGCCGGTAATATCAATTTGACGACCCCTAATCGTAGTATGAACACGGCGAGGTGGTTCTGAAGGGCCAGCTTCGGGACCTTCGGTGGTAGGAGCAGCCACTTCGGCACCCCCTTCAGTGGCCTGGACATCGTCCATTGGTTCCCCAGCTTCATCTGCCTCCGCTGCCGAAGCCTGCTGTTCTGCTTGACTCTCCAGTTCTTGCTGGCGTCGCGCAGCTTCCTCCTCTTCCTTGCGCTTCTTCTCCCTTTCTTCTTCCTCTTTGGCGAGACGCTCTTGCCGTTCTTTTTCAGCCCTCTCTTCTTCGCGGCGTTTACGCTCTTCCTCTAACTCCTTCTGTCTCCTCTTTTCTTCTTCGATGGCAGGAGGAACAAGGACACGCAGCAGGGAGTTGACAACGCGTTGAGTCTTCTCTATGTAGTTACTACTGAAGAGGATGCGGGCTTCCTCTTGCCACCGGGTCGTGGTCGTTGCCAGTGCGAAGCTGACCGCTTGAGACGGGTCGTCACGAGATCGGGTAGGGGCGGTTTGCTGCCGGCCTAATCCGAAAATATCTTGGATGCGGTTGTCGGGGATGGCACGTCGATCGACATGAACATGGATGCCATCGGGGCGTGTGATCACGCCGAACCCTGGACCCCCTTGGCCCCCGATAGCCTGCATTATGGCGTTCATGAAACTGACAGGGCTGTCCATGGAGACTAGGCGTCCGGTTGAGGCGGGATCAACACTGTGAACCCAGTCCGTAAACGCCTCGGTTCCAGCGCCACGGGCCTGCCCAGGTACCTCAGGACCCCGATCGCTTCTTATCAGGAGGGGATTGGTGCCGTCATCAGTATTGCGAGAAGTAATTTGACCGCGATGCGAACGGTAAGGAGGTATCGGTATTATGCCATGACGATTGGACATTCCTTCGGGGAAGGTAGTCCATGTTGGCTGCATTCCGCGGTAGCGATGATGGTGATGGTGGTGATGGTGTCGAGGAACTGGAGGTTCCTCACCTTCCCATCCCCAGTGTTCGATATCTTCATCTAATACATGGCCGGTCAGACGCAGACTGTGTGGACATTATTCCGAGTTTACTTACCATCATAGTCCTCATAAGACCCTTGGTCTTCATCCAGGTCGTCAAGTTCTTCCTCCAGTTCGTCACCTTCCTCCTCTTCATCTGCAGCGGCGAGCATTAGTACAATAGGAACAACATGAAGAGCATGACGCAAACTTACCTTCATCTTCGTTAATCTCATCGTCTACCATGTCGTCTTGAACATCATTGCCCCGGAAATCTTCGACTCCACCAGCGGCCTCATGAAGTACACGGAAAAGATCGTCAAAGCGCTGGCTATCACCGTGTTGATCTGCCTGTCTGATGTCTTCGAGTTCGTTCTCGAATTGATTCAACATTTCCGCTTCTTCGTTGTCCTCAGACATCTCTTCGCTCTCCCATTCGTCATCATCACCTTCTGCCAGGCTGTCGTTGTCATGGTCACCGGTAATCTCTCCAGCCATCACCTCGTCGTCGGCATCGATATCGTCATCCTCATCGTCATCCTCATCTTCCTCGTCGTCATCCTCATCGTCATCCTCATCTTCGTCGATGAGAACTTCGATATCCATGCCAGTGTCTCCAGGCAAACCCTCAATAGGGCCTGGCCCTTCAATGTCCTCGTCTTCATCACTGACGACCTCTCCATCATCTTCAGGCATATCCTCTTCATAATCCATTTCTTCCCCGTATTCATCGTCGTACAATTCATCATCCTCCTCGGATTCCTCTTCGCTGGTTTCCTCCTCGTGGCTAGGCTCTAGCATACCCAAAGTGGAATGCCTGAAAAGATCAGGAGTCTCTTCACGATCATCATCCATGTCTGAAACAGATGTGGCTGATGAGATTTCGTCCTCCTCCGTTTCACCAGGTGCAGATATACTCGAGGTCTCACTCAAAATGACAGCAGTCTGCGTAAGCTTATTCAAAGGACGAAGGATGTATTTGATCACCCTCTTGGACGCAGGGAAATTCAGATCGATATCGGCGATGGAAGCAGTCAGAGCGGAGATAAAATGTTTCTCGAACATGGTCTTGGCAAGCTGCTTAGTGGACGAAGGGAAAGTGTTGTCGCCACTTGCGTATGTGTATCCACTAAGCATCTTGTCAAACAGATCAGCCAGGCACATTAAGCGTGAATATTTGACATCCAGTGGCTCATTAGAGGCCATTGCGTCCCGATATGATTTCAACGCATGTTCAAGAACAAATCGCCGCACGAAGAGCAACTCAGGTTCCTCTTCTTCATCCTCCGTATTACGTCGCCTGTTGTTTCCGCCAAATTCCCCAGTCCTCGTACACAACGCGACTATCACTCGCATTGCCCAGGCGGACGTGTTGCTGCGCTTCTTAAATGCCACAGACTCATCATGCTCTAATGTACCGACAGGGATGAGGACGTTCAGGAGATAGTTCAGGACGCCCGATCGTGGTTTCGATGGCGTAGTCGCCATAGGGTCAGCTTTGCGTGAGAAGTTAATGAACTCAACCTTGGTACGATTGTATGATGACAGAAGTTCCGTTAGGCACTGGAGGAGGAAGCAACGATAGATGTAGATAGGATGTTCATCGGCTTTGAATGTCGCCTTCTCCGGTTTCTTGGAGCTTCGTGCTGCCGTTAGATCCGCACTGGAAGACGACGGAGAGGGTTCGCCATTAGACATTTCGACATCAGTTTGTGATTCTGACCGATCAGCCCCCGACGGTTCGGCGCTTTCCGGCGCGGGCTCTTTGTCATCAACATCCTTGTAGGACAGCAATTCCGAAAGCAGATAATGAATGACACCATCTGGATGCTCGACAACAGGTGGTTTAAGCTCTACTGCTTTGCCCTTTTCTTTGTGCTCTGTCGGCGCAGTAGTTTCGCCTGGCTCTTCAGCCTTATCTTTGTGGGCATCACCATCTTTGGAGGTGTCGGCCTTGTCTGTCTTCAAGGTGAGGACCTGTGGTCGTTGATGGGAGTCATATCGCTGAAGCTTGAGCTTTTCGTTTGTAACCTCCACAAATAGTTCTGGTGACCTCAGAACCAAGTGATACATTTGCCGAACGTATCCTGTGGTATCCGTCTGCCGAGAGGACCTGGACTCGAAGTTGGCAACAATCTCACTCCTCATTATTTGTCGAATAGTCTCTTCGTCTTCCACAATGTGTCTGAGTATGAGCATGAACGAACTTTGCAATTTCTCGTTCGTGGAGCTCGAAAGCTGCTTCACCATGACGAAGAGACGTTGCAAATTTCGCTTCTCCCCCATGCGCACCGCAATAGTTCGATTCCGGGTGAGAATGACGAGAATTCGACACACGGATAGGGCGAGCGAGTCATCCTTCCCTATGCGTGGAAGGATCTCCAAAAGAGATTCGAATAGCTGCGTCTTCTCGCCATATGAAATGAGAGGCTCCTCAAGTTGTGCCGGCTCCTCATTGACGTCAGGCTCGTCAAAACTAGGGGGATTCCAACGGATCTGAGGCGGCTGAGCGTCGTCTGACAACAACCTTTCGATGACGAGCAGCACCTGACCGATCCAAGGCGAGGGTTCTTCGGTAGCCTTATCAGAAGGCGGGATTTAATGAACCCGAGAAGAGTTAGGAAACACTCCTTCAACTCCCCTAACGTTGCGGAATAGATATCCTTATCTTGAAGTATCAGCGCAAGAAGATTGGCATAGGCGGCGATCTTCTTGCCAGAAGGCCGGAGATCCCCTTCCGTCTGCAAGGAAACCAGCGACTGGACGAGCGTCTCTCCAGCCTCTTTCCGGAAACCGTCAGGATCGCGATGCTTCCTCGTGGCAGCAGCGATCAGGTCTGCCAGATCGAATGTGACATCATGATGGACATTGAGAACATCCAAGCAACGTTCTATCAGGTTGGACCTTATATTGTCACGCTCAGCGTCGAGATCCTCAATCGTGGTAACTTCTCGTCTTCTAGGCTGTTGTTCCGAAGACTGCGATGCAGGGTCGGTTGACGGATTCCCACGATTCTCGGAGGAGTGCTCTTCGACAGTGTCACTCATAAGATTTTCCTGGTCATTAAGAATGTGGTTCAAGGCTCGAGCAAGGAACTCCGCGCGGTTGCCAGAATCATCTTCTCTGTTCTGGCCCTGCTGTGAATCAGACCCATCTTCGGCAGAACGACCTGAAGCTTGAGCAAGAAGCATTGCAAGAGAGGAATGATCCAAAAGACCACCAGCAAATGGAGGAGCATCCCCCACAGGGGTGTCCTCTGAGGAATCTCCCGGAGCGGTTCCGGAAATGTCGTATGCCGGCGGCGGGAGTCTGGCCGGAGGCCGCAGCCAATTCTGCGCTTTACAATATTCCTCAGCGGCAGCAAGGACATTGTTGCAACGATAAAGAGCTTCTCGCACAAGATCCTTGTCGAAGCCTTTCTCGCGCAGCGTGGCCATCCGTTCCCTGTTGATCGTGAATACTTTCTTCGAAGGATCTGCCAAAAACTGGGGAGGGTCAGATTGTCGAGCAGCCCCAGTCTCGTTCTCCCCTTCGAGAATCGAGCGGAGGATGTCCACCAGACATTTGACGATAGAACTGGAAGCATGGTCGACAAAATCGGAACTCCACAACTCTCTGACCATTGGAAGGACCTCCATCCGAAGATCCACTAAGAATTGAGCTGGATGGAAGTAATCTGGACGATCGCGCTCTCTTTCGGTTCCAGCCAAAGCCTGTGTCTGATTCGATTGCATGATGTATCTCGCAGATGTGATTTCAGCAAAGAAGGTCAAAATGATCTTGACTCCTCCGTATGCGGACGCAAGTCGGGCAGATTGCTCTGGATCGTTAAGCTGCCCAACTTGAGGAACCAGAGCCTTAATCTCGCGCAGGAAGATATCGCAAAGACCTTTCATCACTTTCAATCCGTTCTGTTTCTTAAATGAGAGTAGGATTAAGGTCAAGCAATGGGAGTGGGATCGTTCAGCAGTAGCTAAGACAGAAAAAAAGGGGGGGGAGGTTAGAAACGAGCGTTTACGAAGAGATAGGGGAGGAAAACTCACTTTCAAAGAGCAACTGTGAAAAGGAAGACAGAATTACAATGAGGTAGGAAAGCCGATCCTTCATATTAGGGCTCCTGTTTGGAGCACCCAGCTGGAGTTGACGAAGCACAACACTGGCAATCGAATCCGCTACCATGAACGCATTCTGTCGTTGATAACTATCGATCCGCCGTTTTCCAATGATCCCATGCCCAAGCAGGTGGAAGAAGCCCGTGATTGAAGAAGGCAGAGAGCTCAAGAGATAACGAAGAGTTTGCGCGTTCTTGAATGCAGCACCGTCTTCACTCACCCTAGCCGTCGAAGGCTTAGGAAGACCTGAAGCATCACCACCTTGGGCCTGGGTGCCTTCTGGGGAGCGCGCAGCGTTGGCATCTTCATTCGCAGCAGCATTCGAGGCCTCATCGGTGTTCAAGACTCCAGCGGCGTCGTTGGCCTGTTCATTGCCCGTATCGTATCCCCTCACCTTCATGGCTTCGATCCAGCGCTCCGGGATATTCTTCTGAAGGAGTATCTCTTCCCACACACAAGCGGCATGCAGATGTCCCAGAGCCGTAACAAGGGAGGAATACCGGTCGGCTAAATTCACTTGAGTAAACGCTGAAGTCTGCTGGCTGGGACGGGTCTGGTACATAGGTGGAGTGTAAACCTCACGAAGAATGTCCGTGAGGATATGAACAGCCACCAGATGCTTCGCAAAATAAGTCCCACGAGACTTTGCGACTTCAACATTGTCACCACCGTCTCCGTCCGCAGCGCTAGCTTCGGACTCTGGCCTTGTCAGCGAGGTGAAGAAGCCATTTGGTTTCGATTCCATCCAAAAATCGGCAATACTATCAATGGCACTTTGCGCTCGCTTGACAAGAGACGGCAGGACGAGGTGCGGCTTCGTCTCTGCCATCATATGCACCAATTGAGTGAGCTCGTGATTCGCCTCACTGTTCCGGAAATCGAACGGGAGACTGGGAAGAGTGGCAAAGTCCAACACCAATTCGACGCCGCCGGATTCGATGAAGTAGGTGCAATTGGCTTGGTTTTCAAAGAAAGCCCCCAGGAATCGTAGAACGGGGTACAGGTAATTAGCGACCGTAAGTCCGTGACTGTCTTGGTCCTTCGCTTCCATGGGCCCATTTTCTGGTAAACCGAGCCGGTTCACATCACCGACTATCATCTTGCCGCCATTAGGAAGAGTAGCGTCGTTGAACTCCGGAGTAGTAAACTGTCCGCTGCTTTCGATTGATTTTTCAAACGGAACGCCAAGCTCTCCGAGCAGAGAAGAGGTACCTCCAACCACAGACTGCTTTCCCTCTTTATCCTGAGTCCACAGCTTAGCACCTGCTCCATGCTCCCAAGCTTTCCTCTTGCACAAAAGGCCAACGCGAGCAACCATGACCATGACAGCGGTCATCACTGACTGTTTTAGGGCTGGATGATGCCTAACCAGCTCGTCAAAAGTTGTTCCCAGCGAGCGCACAAGGTTGGCATCGTCCTTCATGCATTTGACGTGCTCAGGGCTCTCGAAGATTTCGAAATAGCTCTCCAGAGCGCCCGAAGCTTGGAAAAGTTCCAGCCCAGTCGAATTCAAACAAATGGCACCGAAAGCTTGCGGGATGCAGGACATAGCTTCGGTCGCTGGCAAGATTCCACGAGCCAACGGCTTGGCATCGGGTCTAATAAGATGGTACTCCGGAGTCCTGGTCTCTTCCTGGGACCACTCTCCCGAGGTCGTGGAGACAGGTCGAGACGAGGAAAGAGCTTGATCGCCGGTCGCTGACGGTTCTGGATGTTCTGGAACGCTCAAATCCCTAAGCACAATTGCTTCCAAGAGACTCTTACTGAGGCCCGCCTCTGCGATAACGGCGTAGCTAGTCGGCTCATTATGGATGAAGCTACTGAGAATGTTGACAGCTCCACTCCAAACGTGCGCACCAAAAACGCGTGCGTTCTCGAACACCAGACGGAGGGCCGTCAGCAACGGTGGAGAGTCTATCAAATTCCGCAATAAGCGATCAAACCCGCCACCACTATGTTGCATGATATGGTTGACGAATCTGAAGAGCCATCGAAGAGATTGTTGCTGGAAGTACGAGACCTCGTAGTCGACCGAGGGCGTCCGGAACTCAGGGGGAATCCCGGCTCCCCGGGATACATTCTCAAAAGCGGACTTGGTCTCGAATCCAATCAGGTCCGAAATTGCATCAAAGCCTCTGGCACTGGCAAGGGTGCCAAGGGCGTCTCTGACGGAGTGAACAAAAGTGTCGAGTAATTCTAGAACGCGAGGGTAGACGCGACGAGCCTTTTCGGTCCGAAGATTGAGAATATCGACAAACATCGGAATCAAGCCGGCGGCGACAAGAGTCTCGGGAGTCCTCGAGCCTGCGCTTGGGATCGTCCTCAGCAACGCGAACAATGCGTCTCGCCACTCATCTTGCCCGGAATCGTCCCCATCGACATCTTCACCCCCGAGTTCGGTGATCGCTTTTCGAGTCAGGAACATAAGAATGCCGTGGTTGACATTAACATTCAGGGCCGCGCAAACATCGATAGATCTCGATTTGTGTTTCGAGAGCGCGTCAAGTGCATTCAGGGCAAGCGTCTGCGTGGTCCGAGAAGCTGCGAGGTCTCCACTGGCGCCTAGGTGGACCAGTTCTGCGAGCTGATAAACAAGTTGAAGACGTTTAGGTTGATCCGTGTCGTGTTGGAGAATTTTCTGCTGAAAAACGGCTTCAGGATAGACGTAAGCCAGATTCGTGATCGCGAGGATCCGAATCGCAAGAAGTTGTTCTCGACTAGGAGAGCTCACCAGAGCTCGTGCCATACGAACCCGGTGAAGGAAGTCGTACTTCGACTCATTTGGTACTTCCGTCAATTTCGATTCCAAGAGATCTTCGACTTTCGACGAAGAAACCTTGATGGACGGAATCTCAACAACCTTCGAACCACGCCCCGTCTCCTCAGGCTTCCCTAAAGGAGTGCTGCCATACACCCCAGGCGATTCCTCCGTGCTTGATCCGCGGCTGAACCGCGGGGTGGGAAGAGTCGCACTTCGGCGTAAGGGCGTCGGGGTCGCCGGAGCCTGCTGGCTCTGCTCGGTTGCTGCACCTTCGGGCGCAGTCCTTCCCTGATCGGAAGAGCCCGAAGGATAGTATACAGCACGAACGTTGCCCCATTCCTCCCAGCCATCGCTCTCTCGCAGCAGCGAGATCATGTCATTCGCATCATGCTTCGTCGGGACTGCTTTCTCCTTTCCCTTTGTCAAGACCGCTGGAGAAGACGGAGCAACAGGCGGCTTCGTAATGACCGTGGGTCGCGGGAAGGGCGAAGCGAGTTTCTGGACCCTTTCTAAGTCGATATTGTAGTGGGCTGCCAGCAAACTCTGTTGAATGTGATTAGGACTAGCGTTCCGCTGCCGAGCATGATATCTCTGGGCCAGAGATAGGGCAAGACGCAGCGTAATCAGCAGAAGCGAATTCGAGGTCGTGTTCAAAAGGTCATTCAGACGTTCGCTACTGCTGTATAGACTGCGGTTGCCACACTTTTCCTGAAGGAGCTGAGAGAAGCTCAGGATGGCCTCCAGAAGCTCTCTGTCTCCTTCCGGTCCATAGCCGAGAGCATCAAGCTTGGCATCAATGTCTTCCCGCGTTGGCCCACTTGCTTCATTCGCATAGGAATCGGCCAGAAATGACCGACCGAAGGGCTTCGTCTGCGGACCCGAGTTCAGACCGTATCGATCGATCACGGCGGCTAGGATCTCATCGAAACGGTTCAGCACCCCGATCCAGTGATAGAGGTCACCTCGGGGGAAAGGCCATGATCGGGGAAGTGTCGCAAGATGGGAAGGAAGCTCTGGGATGGCGATTTGCGTAGATCGTGCGATAAAGTCTGAGAGATATGGTGACTGCAGTTGAAACAAGGGAATCAGCTCGAGGGCCCGGCAACTTGACTGGTTAAAAAAAAGTTGTTACTTACAATTGTAGCTTCATGCTTCGAGCCCGCCACCTTCTTAATTCTCCCCATGATGAAGCTCAGAAGAATAGGCCACCATGGGAAGAGAAAAGGTTCCCCGGAGGCTGTTCAGTCGCAGCGTGGAGTGGTGGTCGTGATGGTGAGAGAACGAAAAGAGAGTCACGGCAAGAGCTCAGTAATGACGTCTTGGGGTCTCCTGCCTCTTTTGGAAAACCGCGTCACGCAGAAGATGGTAGTCGTGAGTGTGCAAGCAAGAAAAGGAATGGAATAGGATCCTGGGGCTCGAGGAGAGAGTCCAAGGATCACTGAGGTGATTGCAGAAAGGAAGAGAGAAGGGAGTGCAAAGCTCAGGCGATGAAATGCGCTCGAGGGATCACGCAGAGAAAAAGGCCTAACCAACCGGTCCGAAGAAGCACAGAGCAGACGGTGCAGGTCGACAGCTCTGTGACATCCGACAAGCTGGGCGAGCAGAGCACAAAGAAGAAGAGGAGGGAGGGTGAGAAGGGGTATCACAAAAGGTACAGAGCAGGCTATGTGCGGAGAAGAAAAATGATGAAAGGCCGTGGTGAGCGTGGGGATTTTGCGGCGGTTAGAAGGTTCCTGAAATCAGCTAGACAAGGCGAGTTCTGATGGAGGAGGGAGCTCCCGCTGCCGCCGCCTCTCGTTTCGGGCGCGGCTGTGGCCCGCCCGCCGACCGAGCGAGCGCCTGGTTGCGCCAGCTGTCCGCCCACCGTCGCCCACCATGTCGCCGTTGAATAATGAAAACAGGCCAGCACCTTGCGATTGGGCGAGCCGAGCGACGCATTGGGCAGTCTCTGCCCATTTCTTTTCTTTATTTCTTTTGTCCCACAGAAATACTGGGCACCTTCTGCATTGCGTGTGGCGGCGGGCGCAAGAGAAGTTTCTTCTCTGCCTGTGATCACTTGCGGGTCCTGTGGAGCTTCGCTTGTCATTATGATGATGTGCTACAAACTGCAGACAATCGCTTCTCATCAACTGTGATGCTGCTATAGGATTTGCTGTCATTATTAATCTTCCTGGGTGGCGTTTATCGCAGTTCTCATTCTGACCCCACTTGCGTCGACTCGCTTGAGAAGTAGGCCCTGTCATACCTAATGCAAGTCTACGCCTAGTTATATGTTTTTTACATCAGACCCAGAATCAGTTTATATGACTCGACGTGAACAAGCAGTCGCCCAAAGGAAAACGAAACCAGAAGCCATATGCAAGGCATCAATCCTTCATGGCGAACCACTGTATATGCAATGAAATGGCAAAAGAATGGGGAAAAATCGTCATAAATCCATGTCCTCCATAAAGTGTTAATCATCCCCAAAGTCGACTGGATCAGACGGACACCAAGACCCATCACGGGCAACATTCACATAGGCACAATATCTCCATCCCACTGGATCTTCATAGTCGTTGGAAAGGGGAAGAAGCTGCTATGGTCTGCAGTCATGTACATGGTGAAGCCGCCAGGAGCAGGAATTTTCTTCAACTGGCCCTGAGCACCCGGCGCCCGGCGCAAGTTATCCAGCCGCCCGACGACCTTGAACATCGTGGTGAGTGCGATTTGGCTGATCCCATATCCCAAGCACTGGTGTGGCCCATAACCAAAGTGTATGTACAAGTTGAGGTCGCGATCAAGCTTGACTTTGTCCGGTTCGGGGAAAGCGGTCGGGTCTTTGGATGCTGCTATCTATTTGGGTAGGTTTTCTAGTTAGCGAGAGAGCATTGAGGTACCTAGGCTTTGGGCATGCCGGAAAGAATCATATGCTGGTATTGCATAGCTGACAACTTGCAAAGAGCGGCTTACCAGATTGCAGAGGACACGTTGACCAGCCCTCAAATTGAGCTTCTTACCATTGTCTTCGACAACTGTCGGCTGCGCAACATCACGGTACAATCCGACAGTAGCGCCAAGTCTAGCACCCTCCATGAAGCTATGCATCGTATCAGCCTCAACGTCGAGGGGCGGTCTTTATCTCGAGATACTACTCACTATCGCATGAGCAAATCGTCTGCTTCAGGAGTGTTCAACTTCGCCAAACGGTTGATCTCCGGTAAATGGATCGATCCTTCCTCCGAAAGGTAGTAATCCAGGCATTGGGAGAAAAGCTGAGCCTGGTTGGCCACCATGCCACCTGCAGTGGGCAGGAGATGTGTCCACACGAGCTGGTCCACGGGCACTCCAGTCTTGAGCAATTGTTGGATCATGTGGATACCATAGTCGGCGAGAGCATCGTGCCGATGGAGACGACCTACCAACTGGGTGATCCACCCGGTTTTGTTGATGAGCTGGACGTTGACCATGACAAGCTCTCCCAATTGCTGTGTCAGGTTTCGAGCGATTTGGCGAAGTGGAAAGGACTTCCCAATGTCGGCGTCGAAAAAGATACAAGTGAAGACAACGGCCATGATCAAGTAGAGTTCCGTGTCTGAATAAATCTCGCGTGGGTTCGATTCGGTCTTGAGCGGCAAAGAGAAAAGACTCGCACAGAAGTGAACCTGAGCGAGGTTCGCGATATCGCGCACGATATCCACCTGATTCACACCAGCAATCTGGTACGAATGCTCATAGAGAAGCTTGAGTGTGATGTCCTTGTAGAACTTCTTGACCTCGCTTTCCCAGTGTTCGCGGTACAGCGCTGTGTGCATCCTTTTCCGCGACGCGGCATTGGGGAGATCATCTCCGGAAAGCATGAAATCCTTGCCATAAGGGTGGTTATGTTTGTGCATCAAGAATTCGATAGCCTCACCCCAAGTAACCTTGAAATTTTCCTGGTTTGAAAGGATGGCCGTAGCGGCAGCATAAGAATTGATGAATTCGGGCGGAGGAACTCTGCTTGGGGCGTCGAAGCTATAATTCTGAACCACACCAAGATTTGTGAGAATCTTCTGGTTCTCAGAAGGGACAACTAGCGGAAAATGCGCGTAGATGGAGTTCTGCCTGAAGTGTTCAGGGAACGCCCGGAAGACCAACTTATAGAAAACATGGCCCTGATCGACCGAGTTATCGTAATTCACCTCGTTAAACGCCCAGCGGGTAACGTTCTTCGGGTTCCAGTCGACGGTGCAGTAGCGATCACCCCGGATCAGGACGACTGCATCGAATAGAATGCCTCTAGAAATCGTGTAGTTGGTGCACAGGCCGCTGCCAGGAACTTTTGTATCCTTCGCATCTTCAATGATAAGTCCAGGATATAATTCCACATAGTCAGGGTGGTCGTACAAATGCTTGAGCTGATCGGCTATGTAAGGGTCCGAGTTGATGTCTTCAAAAGTCTGATGTGGAGTGAGATTGAAGAATTTTCGGAATTCATTGAGGGTTGCTAGGTTCCAAGAGCGTGCCTGCCTGATACCCAGCACCTCGACAGCCTTGAGAACTGTTGGGACATGTGAAGCCCCAAATGCTCCAGCGCAATCTTCAACGCCGTCTTTGAAGATCTTGACGAGGTCGTCATCATCGAATGATCCGTTTGCTCCCCGTTTCAGATCCGCAAATGGCCGCTCCTGAGGATCAGCCGGCAGGGCGCGTTCCCATCGGGCTATGCCTTCAACGAATTGTTGCACGCTAATCTGGCTGGATGGGACTCCTGGGAAGAGCTTGTTATACAGGCCTTCCGTCCACTTTTCGTCGCGTTCAGAAATGCAAGCATGCCAACGGTAAAGCAGATTGAACTCGGCCGAGACTTGATTTCCAGTCGCCTTCGGCGGAGCCTCACCGAAGGCAGTGTTCTTCATATCGGTACGGGGATCAAGGGCCCAGACACTGTTTGTCCGGTTGAGATTGAGGATGGTGCGGACATAATCCTTCAGGATGATATTCACATAGAGTCCGCAAGTTACAAGGCGGCCGGTTTGGAACAGGTCATTATCGTACTTCGCATACGCCTTCGTGTCGGATTCATCTGGTTTTGTAAAGCGCCCATCCTCGTTGATCACTGCCAGGTTCTGCACGACGTAGTTGTGGAACCGGTTGAACATGATCAGAAGAACTCCGACGCCAGGCGGGAATCCAAGAACCCGTGTGTCAGAGAAGCAGTCGGCTTTGAGCTTTCCGTCTTTGAAGGTGCGAACGGCATTTTGTTCCTCCTGGTTGCTCCCATACAGAGGGGAGAGATCGAGGTACGACGATGTGAGCGATTTAGAAAAATCAGTCCGATCGGTTCGGAACAGGTCTGGATCAATATCAGCCGCTTCAAGAGCAAAGTTTCTTGGGAAATGTCCCGCCCACCATGGATAATGATCGAGGCGAGGTAGAAAAGAACGCTGGAGATCTTGTTGGGATGCGGAGTAAAAGTCTTCCTGGCCAGGAGCGAGTCAAACAGCACCTCAGGCTCTGGAAGAGCACCAGGTAAGATCGTCTTCGGCTCCACCGATCGCGCATAGTGTGTACCGGCGGCACCAATTTGAGGCCAGTAGAGATTCTAACATCGGGGCCAGTTAGCTATTCTCTGTCTGTGTGTTATCAAAAAGATCGATGTCGTGGATAACGTACATTGTTGGAGCCATCTGCCGCTCGATAGATGAATTCCTTACCCAAACACCTAAGAGCAGAAAGATCAGTGACAAATTCCTAGTAGGCATCGCCATCAGATTGTATGTACTGTACGTACGATGTGGGCGGATGTTGAAGACCATTCCAGAGCATACGAATGAAGGCATCAGTCAGAGCCTGGCCATTGCGCGACGAGGTGGGGAGAGCGGCAGCCAGCTGACATCGATAGTAAGAATGCTTGTTCACCCTCCCAGGAAGGTCTGTCACGTACTTGAATGACCCGTTCCATGATGTAGTCTCGGTCATTCTGGGGATCGCCGGTTGTAGCGGCCTTGGCCACATCAATGAGGGTTTCAACGTCCTTCGGCTTTACATGCGGAAGGTCATTGATCAACCCGGTGGGCGTGGTATGGGTGATATAAGTGCCATCCCCAGTCTCTGTAGGAAGAGGTCGCAACGAAGCACCGATGACTTGCTGGAGCTGAACAAGGGACTTTTGAATGTCCACGAGAATTGAATCCCGTTTGGAATTGGCCATGGTGGAGACACGAAAACTCTATCAACAAGGACGAAAGATGATGATAATGGACACTGATCGATGGATTAGCTTCTGCGGCCAACAAAATCTTTTTCCAGAAGCCAGAGCAAAAAAAAAACAGAGGAAACAGTCCTGAAGGTAGAGTTCTACAATAATCTGTAACGTATGTGAACTGCTCCAGTGTCTACCACCACCACCAGCATCACCAGCGAGATGGGGAATGTTGACACCCTTCGCCGAAAACGTCGAAGATGAGACAAAGACACAACTTAATCCCTCGCGTTGCTTTGGTGATTCTGCTAAAAATGCAACAAAGGGTTTGACAAGCATAAAGAATGGGCCCGCACAAAGAATACTTATAGAGCTGTGGATGTACTCCCGTGTCAAAACATGGAAGAAATTGTGATATCCGACATTCCTCGGCAGCCAGACGATTCTCAAAATATTTAGCTAATAGGATTGATGGAAATTTCCATCATCGCATGGGAAACAACAGTTTATATATGCCATATACCGAGCCGTAGCGATAACACATTGAACGCCTGATTGCGCCTTAACAGTAGACCATCCAGTCCAAATAGTGTCCGTGTATTATGACAGCCGCTGCGACGCGAACACCCATGTACCAATGCATGTTAATCCATGACCACTGCGCCAGGCTCGTTGTAGGTTGAAGGGAGTCGGCAATTCGGCACAATATACCTTTGGGGCACCAAACCCTTGTCCTCCACTTCCACAATGGAACAATGCTGCAGCAGCCATACGGTAGTCAACCGGCATCTAGAAGGCTAGATTTATCATGACGATTGTGAACGATTGGGGAATCCAGAGCCGACAAGGACGCGGGAAACGCCTGGATGTTCTTTCCCTCGCGAAGATGTAGATAGATCTTGTCGAAAGATCACCAGCAAAGGTACTGCTTGTGCCACCCAAGTAACCGGTCCCACAGTGAGCTGCCGAATTCACCTCGAAAGAACTGGCAGCTGAGACCGCCTACGAGTCATGATGAAAGCGCCGATTGGGACGTCGAGACCTTGGGACCTTGGGTTCAGCTCGTGGACTGTTTATCTGACCGATGGGAACCAATGGCTGGATCATGGTCTTCCAGCGCATATGTGCGGCTGAAAGCTGAAGAAAGAGGTCTGAAGTGTCGATTCAATGACACGTCACTCTGCATTTATTTTTTTCAGCTGCATGGGGGTCAAAACAAAAGAAACACTACTTTCTGGCTTCCTGGGTGCAGCGTTCTTGGCCCGTACGTTCACAAGTTATTAGTTTCTTCAGCCTTGCAGGTCGATCCTTCCAATCTTAGCCTCCGCCGTCCTCCGTCCGGGCCGTACTCCGTATATCATGTGACAGGGGCAACGCTATACTCTTAATTTTCTTTTCGAAGTTGCTCCTTTGGGTCCCTGTTGCTTATACTATTGTCGAAACCTTCTTTCTTCCTCTCCGTCTATTATTGTTCCCTTTATCCTTATTTCGGTGTCATATTCTGACACAAACACAACGTCCCTGCTAAAAGATTGCCTTCAAAGATACGGTGACCACGTTGCGAAGGCACCCCAGCCACGATCAACAAAATGTCATCCAATCCAATTGCCCTAACTGTGCATCCAAGAGGTACATCTACCTATGTCTGCCAATGAGCCATGCATTCAGATGGCTTGCAAGTGTCAACGGCAAGGCTAACGTGCCAGAAGGGAAGCCGATCCGGAAGCTTCCCAAGGAAATCAACATTGCCGCCAATGCCTCAGGGCGTGAGCTCTACGACAGGCTCGCCCAGAAGACCGGATATTCAATTCATCGATTGAGAGTCACCAAAGGTAGCGATGGCAGTCTGGTGCCTAATGGCAAGGAGACCGTTTATGACACGGGGCTCCGAGACCAGAGCATCATCTATGTGAAGGATCTTGGTACGTGAGAATAACTGACTACCCGTTCTGTCAATCTCTCATGGCATGGGCTTATCTTCCTTCGTCGAAATTCTCAGGCCCTCAGATCGGATGGCGGACCGTTTACATTATTGAGTACCTGGGACCGCTGATTTTCCCTGCCCTCGTTCTCTACGTTCTGCGACCGTACCTGTATTTCAACTTCGAGCAACCGCTTCCCGAACCATCAAACCTTCAGGCCATTATCTGCGCCCTCCTGACTGTGCACTTCATCAAGCGCGAGATCGAGACCATTTTCATCCACCGCTTCAGCCTCGCGACCATGCCGGCTCGCAATATTGTCAAGAACTGCACGCACTACTGGATTCTGGCTGGTGCGAATATCACATACTGGGTCTTCCGTCCAGACTCCCCGGCTGCGACAGAGAATGTCCATCCCATCTTGCTATATACCGGACTGGCCCTCTTCGTCTTTGGCGAGTTGGCCAATCTGAACGCGCACTTGGTGTTGCGAGACTTGCGCAAGCCTGGAACCACGGAAAGAGGAATTCCAAAGGGATTTGGATTTGACCTGGTGACTTGTCCTAACTATATGTTCGAGGTCCTTGCTTGGATTGGGATCTATTTCGTGACCGGCTTGAGCTGGAGTGTGCTGCTCTTCATCGTCGTTGGCACCCTGCAGATGATGAGCTGGGCTGCGAAGAAAGAACGCCGGTACCGCAAGGAATTCGGTGACCGGTACAAGCGGAAGAAGTATGTCATGCTGCCGGGTATCTACTAGATCGTTAGCAACCGGCAATGTCTACTCCTGCAGACATGCTGGCTGCCCTCAGACATGAGAGGCTTATTCAAGGCATTTCTTGACGACAGCCGAGCGTATAATAATGCTCTGGACCTGTAATTGTTTTGATAGTTTTCGGAAACGGTGTCGCAATGGGTCTGGACCTGTGAAGACCGGAACGACCGGTACAAGGAGAGTGGCCAATAAAATAAGACCTTGCTACTTAATAATAATAATCTGACGTACGGTGCAACAATAATAGAACTGAAGCATGTGCATATGTACTGAAGATACTCGATATGTATACATGCCAGTCGGGGCTACTATAATCCGGCCCGCATATGGCAATTAGCATAGATGGCCTAAACCCAAAGGATTAGTAGTAACTATCGATGATTGCGGACAACGGAAGGAACAGCACTTGTCGCGCCGGGCTGAAAAAAACAGGGAACAATAATAGGAACACTGAGATGTTTTGCTTAACGGGAACCTGAACCTCCCTTTGTTGTTTCTCTCCCAGCATCTCAGCGCTGGGAGCGAGCTTTGCGGATCGCGATGCAATTCGCTTTACCACCCCGGAAATCCTCCCATACTCCCCCTTATGCTCCTCGTTCCTCTCGATTCTCCCTCCAGCGTCGCCGACAGCTGAAGACCATTGCCCTCGCTGGTTTCGCATTTGTGTCGATTCTTTTTATTCTTTCGCGCATCTTTTCGTCCTCGTCGGGCCGCGCCACATCTGCGGTTCCATCGGGAACTCCGAATGTTGTTCTCGTGACAGCTCTGGATCACGAGCTGTTGAGCGACAGCTATATTCAGAAGATTAAGAGGAATCGGGAGGATTATGCTGCCCGACATGGTAAGTATATCCCCCGGCTATACTAACACATGGAATATGGCAAAGAAAGCCGGAAAAGAAGCTAATGGTGGTACCGATGATGCGATATAGGCTACGCCACCTTCTTCGCGAATACGCAGGATTATTTATACGCCCTGAATAACGCACCCCGAAGCTGGACGACTGTGCCAGCGGTGCGGCATGCCATGACCACGTATCCTCATTCCACCTACTTCTTCTACCTCAGCCCACACGCCTTGATCATGAACCCGCGGATTTCCCTCACGTCGCATGTCATGGACAACAAGCGGCTCGAATCGCTGATGCTGAAGGACATCCCCGTCGTGCCTCCGGACAGCGTGATCAAGACCTTTTCCCATTTGAAGGGCAACGATGTCGAACTCGTCCTCTCCCAGGACGCGGAGGATTTGAGTTCGGGGAGCTTCATCATCAAGCAAGGGGACTGGGCGCGCTTCTTTCTAGACGTCTGGTTCGACCCGTTGTATCGAAGTTATAATTTCGCAAAGGCGGAGAAACATGCATTGGTACTGTCCTTCAAAACCCTTTCCCTTCCCAATCTTTTTTTTAATGGGTCCTCCTGAACGGGGAAAATCAACAGCAGGCTAACAATATTTCCCTTGCGTATAGGACCACATCGTGCAATGGCATCCGACTATTCTCACCAAGCTGGCCCTTGTGCCTCAGCGGATCTTCAACTCCTACAGCCCGGGATCCCCCGCCTCAACTTCCAACAGCACCTACCAGGAAGGGGACTTTGTCATCCACTTCGCCGCGTGTGATAACGATATCACTCTGAACTGCGAACAGGAGATGCTACCGTATTACAACAAGTGGCATGAGTCATACGGTCAGAAAGCAGCCTGATCGATCATATCCCTTACTTATTATATCCTGGTTTCTGTGTGCATTGATACGTTTTGATGATGGTGTTTTGGAGGTTCTTTTTTTTCTGGTTACATAGGAGCCTGGAAGGGAAAGGGGGGTGTACCCGAATCTACTACGAGCCGTATGTGTAGCTTGTCTTGTCATGAGAGCCTTTTCGTAGATTTTTGTTGTCTATTTTCCTTTTTTTTTCTTGCATCTACGTGTTTACTGCTGAAGAACAAATATTTGGTTTCCATGAGTACACTTCTGCCAATTGGACTGAGTTGAAAGTAGGGGAAAAAAACAGATTGAACGTATCGAAAAACAACATATATGGAAATCTGATGTACAGTACATAATGGGTTCAGAGACACTTTATATGAACCCGAACAGAGATTGTGCCAACTCTCCCAAGGGAACTAACCGGTAGGAACAGGAAGAACTGTCCTGAACCCGATCAAGCAACCCGCCTCGCTCCATGACATAGATATAGTACAATGTTGCTCTCTCCCATCTTGTCTGTCGATCTGTCGATCATTGCTTGGCCGTTTCCTCCGTTGTGCGTGGTCTAGGTACCTCGCCGGGTACCGGAGAGATATTTGGCTTGGTCTTCTCCTTGATATTGATGTCCTTCTCGACGCTCTCCTTGAGTTCCTTTTCCTTCTGCTTCATCCATTCTTCGAACGAGGGCGGTTCCGGCAGCCCCAATGCCTGTCTCTCCTTCCGGAATTTCTCCTGGATCTTGGGCGTCTGCATGATCCTCCATCTCAATTGCCATCCGAACAAGCCGAGTTCCTTGATCCGCGAGGGTCGGTCGTCCAGGAGGTAGTTATCTAATCCGCCCTCTTTCCGAATCGTCCGCAAGGCCTTGCGCGTGACCTTGATGAACAGGTACTCCCCGAGAGCATCGCTCCACAGCTTCTTCCTCCTGACGTTTGGTTTCCACGTTCGCCTCGTTTTACCCTTGTTCCTCCCCTTGGAGATCTTGTTGCCGAATTGGATCTTCACTCCGCCATACAGACCGCTATCGGCTTGCTTGTAGAGGTGATTCGGCCCATAGGGATAGGGTGGGATATAGTCCGGAAGCTTCTTTGTCTTCTGCGAGGGCAGTGTCGTGGAGAAGCAGCGGGTTGAAGTCAACGAGAGCCCGCGGAAGGCCGAGATGAGGGAAGACGGCGAGAGCGTCGCTCTGGTCAACAGCCCTGCCATTGCGACAGTAGGAAAGACAATTAATGCTCAACCATAACAAAGAAACGAGGGCTTGCCGAAGAATTCCCTGCTTGGTGGTATTGATGGGCGCCTGCAGGTGGAAGTAGGTGAAACGCCGTGAAATGAGCTCGGGAAAAGACTTTGGGTCGGTTGACCGCCTTCACGCAGACGGCAGGTCATTGGCTCACCCCGTCAGCCCTGCCCGCGAAATTCAGCCAGGCTCAACGCCTACAATAGAGAGACCTCACCTGCGCGCCTTTTACAGCCCGATTTTACGACCCTCTGTGCTGCTGTTGACGATATTTCTAACTTATTTCCGGCCACTTTATCTACCCTCATCGTCTGGACCCTCACTACTCGTCGTGTGGCTTCTCTTGAAGCCGTCATCCCTCCAGCATGGTGCAGATCAGCGAAGTCAAGGGGGACTCGCGCGGGAACAGAACGGCCGCGCACACACATATTAAGGGCCTGGGATTACGTCCAGATGGCACTGCTGAGCCATCTGCAGATGGCTTTGTGGGGCAGACTGCCGCCAGAGAGGTGCGCGCTGATACAGTTCTTTGGCAGGAACGAGGGACTAATGCTTGAGCTCTTTCACAGGCATGCGGTGTGGTCGTGGATTTGATCAAGGCGAAGAAGATGTCAGGGCGGGCAGTGCTTCTTGCTGGTGGACCTGGGACAGGCAAAACTGCACTTGCGCTGGCCGTGTCGCAAGAGCTGGGTACAAAAGTCCCCTTCTGTCCTATTGTCGGAAGCGAAATCTATTCGGCAGAAGTGAAGAAGACGGAAGCTCTCATGGAGAACTTTCGGAGGGCTATTGGTATGTTCTGAGGCTGCTCTGTTTTGTACGTCGATCTGACAAGGGCACAGGCCTGCGAGTCCGTGAAACCAAGGAGGTTTACGAGGGCGAGGTCACCGAGCTCACTCCAGAGGAGGCGGAGAATCCTCTGGGCGGTTACGGAAAGACGATTAGCCATCTGATCATTGGTCTCAAGTCGTACAAAGGAACGAAGAAGCTACGTCTCGATCCCAGCATCTACGAGGCTATCCAGAAGGAGCGTGTCACGGTTGGCGACGTTATTTATATCGAAGCGAACACCGGTGCCTGCAAGCGAGTCGGCAGGTCAGACGCATACGCCACCGAGTTCGACCTCGAGGCGGAAGAGTACGTGCCAGTACCCAAGGGCGAAGTACATAAGAAGAAGGAGATCGTTCAAGATGTCACCTTGCACGACTTGGACATGGCAAACGCACGGCCGCAGGGTGGCCAGGATGTGATGAGCATGATGGGACAGCTCATGAAACCGAAGAAGACCGAGATCACGGACAAGCTACGACAAGAGATCGACAAAGTTGTCAGTCGGTATATCGACCAGGGTGTTGCGGAGCTCGTCCCTGGCGTCCTGTTCATTGACGAGGTAGACTCATTTCTTCAACGCGTCCTAGCAGAAAGTCTAACTGCGTTCAATAGGTCCACATGCTCGATATTGAATGCTTCACCTACCTCAACCGCGCCCTCGAGTCCCCCATCTCCCCGATTGTCATCCTGGCGTCGAATCGCGGCAACACCGTCATCCGCGGCACCGACGACATTGTAGCCGCGCACGGTATTCCTCCCGACCTCCTCGCGCGCCTGCTCATCATCCCCACCCACCCTTACACCCCGGAGGAAATCAAGACCATTGTCCGCCTGCGCGCCAAGACAGAGGGCCTCAACATCACCGACGCAGCTCTCGACAAGGTGGCCGAACACGGCAGCAAGACCAGCCTGCGGTATGCACTCCAACTTCTCACCCCGGCCAGTATCCTCGCCCGTGCAAACGGCCGACCCGGCAGCATCGACGTGGACGACGTCACCGAGTGCGAGGACCTGTTTATCGACGCGAAACGCAGCGCAAACATTGTCGGCCAAGAAAATGGCAGCTATGTCTCATGAATGATATGATGCGGGGCAGAGTCGTTAGTGGTACATGGATGAGTGGTGAAGAATGAAGTTTATTGATTGGCTTTCCTTAATTACGAAAATCTTTGCGGGGTTTCGTGCAAGTGAAGTCCCTCCTTTTGCTTTTAAGCTACTGTTTCCATGTTATGTTATCGTTTTGTAACAATAGTCTTGTCTGTCTTAGATTAAAATAAAAGAGAGAGAGATGAGGTACGAATTTTGAGTCTTGTAATGAAGATTTTTTTTGGACGTCTTTTCTGTTGTCTGTTTATGGATTTTAATGCTACATATTTATATATCGGAATACTTCGCTGGATTATAACGAAATTCTCCCTAAATATATACGTAGTCCAGACGCCTTGCCGTCTGTAGCTCGTCCCCGCCCTCGGTGAATACATGAATATATATATTATATATTTACTCGATCGAGTTAAAAAGAAATACCTAGGACCAGACAGACATATCTATCTAGCATGTATCCATCTAGCATATACACATGACACGGGAAGAAAAACGTAGCGACATGATGCAGGACATCGATGTTGCCTGCTCCTCTCATCGGGTAGATCGATCTCCTGTATCACAGAGGAGAGCCAACGTGAGCAGTCAGATGACGACAGTCCGTCCGCCTGGGCCCTCTGGTGTATCATGTGATTCATGTCAACAGATTCGGAGATGACGGTTCATACACGACTACTGGAACACAGAGTATATTGTCCTCACACGTAGTTACTTCCTACTGAGCCGTTGATAGTATTGGTCGTGTTTACATGGGTATGCCTCTGTTTTGTCGGTGCCTGTCGGACTCGGCGATAAGCGTGCATGTGCATACTAGCTCGAGCGCCTGGACCGCATCCGCCAACTGCGTCCAGCGATCGCCAGCCATCTCTCCTCACAACCACCGCCGTCTCTCTGCTCTTGTTCGAACTGGGTTGAATTGCGGGACCCAGGAAGATATCTTCTGAGCGATTTTTGATTTCCTCAGGCCACGATTCACGCCACACCATCAGCGCTGTACTGGGTACCGCACTGCACATACGTAAGCGACCACGCTGCTTATCCCGCTCTCCGCCTCGAAGCCAAAGCCCGTCTAGCAAACATCGACTACCAACATGGCGAATCCGCTAGACACAGATGCCGGATCCGAGCTGTTCAGCAGCTATGAGGCCGAACTGAAGCTCGTCCAAGCGGACCTGAACCAGAAACTGGACCAGATCGCCGAGTCCAGCGGGGAGCAGAGGAAGTCAGCTATCAGACAGGCAGAGAGAGCGCTTGACGAGGCCAATGAACTGGTAGGCAACCTTTGACGGCCCGGTTCTGGTTGTCCGGCGACAGTGCAACTGACACTCCTTCCCCAAACAGCTCGATCAGATGCGGATGGAGAAGCAGAACATCCCCTCGGCAGCCCGGTCGAAAGTCAACGTCCGGTTCCGCAACTATGCGACCGACATCGACGAGCTGAAGCGCAGGCTCAAGTCGCTCTCGGATGACCGCAAGGCGCTCTTCGGCGACCGCTACACCGACGACCCCGACGGCGTGGACCGTCATCTGGAGCAGAGGCAGCAGCTGCTCTCGGGGACGGAGCGGCTGGAGCGCAGTTCCGCGCGGCTGCAGGAAAGCCAGCGGATCGCGCTGGAGACGGAGGACATTGGCCGCAGCACCCTGGCGGACCTCCATCAGCAGCGGGAGACGATCGAGCGCACGAGGATGAATCTGCACCAGAGCGAGGGATATGTCGACACGAGTATAAAGACCCTCAAGGGCATGGCTCGTAGGTATTGCACCCTCCGCCCGTTCCCTCCTGAGATCGCACACCTGCTGACGCTGTGCTTGCTGTGAAGGATGGCTACGAATCGGATAATCACCATTGCGATAATCACCGTCTTGATCTTGCTGATCATCGCTGTTATTTATAGCAAGTTCCATTGAGCGAGCATGTCTCTTTCTTTCTTACTTTTTTCTTTTTTCCGGGTTGTGTGTTCGTTTCATCTGCAGGCGTTTAGAGCATGATTATTCCGCTGCTGTGTTTCTCGATTTTCTTCGAGATATTTTTTATTGGCTGCTGTTGTCGTCGCTGTTTTGCGCTGAGCGTGGTATTGTCTGTATGAATAGGGCCTGACTCGATAATGCAGTGTATGCGCGGGTCAGATAAGAAAATCAAACTCAATGCAGCACAGTCCGATAATCAAATCATCTATTCTATTCACTTGGCCAGAACGAAAAAAAGAATCAAGGGAAAAAAAAAGCCTCTATCAAGTGACAGTAATCAATCAGTTCCTGGGTATCAATATCATCGGCTGACAGACACAATCCCAAACTCCAACCCGCTCGAAATAACCGGCAGATGTATGTATATGTACAGTACGGAACAGAACGTTACCCCCTTGTCCATTGCAGAGAGATATATCAATTCATCACTCTCACCGCACCAAAGACAACATTGACGACGACGCCCACAAACACCGCCAGCCCTTTCCGCCAACTCCACACGCCTTCCTCCCGGCGCAACCACATCGCACACCCGATCGGCCAGAAGAATCCCATCACGGCACCCCAGAGCATATCGTCCAGCGCGCCATGCGACCCGGAGCCCAGCCCTCCGTCGTCGTCGCCGCTGAACGGCCCTCCTCCGCCGGCGCCTCCTCCAATCCCACCGGCAGGGCCACCCATGGCCCCCGACCCTTCGTCCATCCAGCGATCCTCCAGTTCACGCAACTCATCGCCGGAAGGCATCGTGTCCGGCGTGTGGGAGATGGACTGCAGGGCGAGGAACTGCGACCGCAGCGCTGACACTTCCTGGGGAGTAAACCCCGCCGAGAGCAGGCGGTCGAACCCGCGAGGCGCGGGAGTGGTCATGGACTCCTCTCGTTGCCGATCATGTTCCTGCTGCTGCTGCTGCTGCGCCGCTGCTGTCGACTGGTGCTTCTCTTGGAGTGTCGAGGCCAGTGCCGCTTCGGCGGCTAGATCCGATTTCGAGAGAACGATGTCTCCGATGGAGCAGTGAACGTAGAGACGCGGCAGGGGCGGGTCGCGGACAGGGGCCTTGCCCTTGCCTTTATCGTCGCC